TTAATTGGACCCCCTTTTGCCATCAGAACTGCCTTAATTCTTTGTGGCATTGATTCAACAAGGTTCTGGAAACATTCCTCAGCAATTTTGGCTCATATTGAGATGACCGCATCACACAGTTGCTGCAGATTTGTCTGCTGCACATTCATGATGCGAATCTCCCGTTCCATTACATCCCAAAAGTGCTCCATTGGACTGAGATCTGGTGACTGTGGAGGTATTTTGAGTATAGTGAACTCATTGTCATGTTCAATGTAGTTTGAGATGATTTGAGCTTTGTGACATGGTGTGTTATCCTGCTGGAAGTAATCATCATAGACTGTGGTCATAAAGGGATGGACATGATCAGCAACAATACTCAGGTAGGCTGTGGCGTTTAAATGATGCTCAATTGGTACTAAGAGGCAAAAAGTGTGCCAAGAAAATATCCAACACACCATTAAACCACCACCAGCAGCCTGAACAGTTGATGCAAGGCAGGATGGATCCATGCTTTCATGTTGTTTATGCCAAATTCTGATCCTACCATCTGAAAGTCGCAACAGAAATCGAGACTCATCAGAGCAGGCAACCTTTTTTTCTTCTATCTTCTATTGTCCAATTTTGGTGAGCCTGTGTAAATAGTAGCCTCAGTTTTTGGTGCCAGACGGGGTGGTCTGAGTATTTCAGAAACTGTTGATTTACTGGATTTTCAGACACAACCATCTCTAGAGTTTACAGAGAATGGTCTGAAAAGAGAAAATATCCATTGAGTGGCAGTTCTGTGGCTGAAAATGCCTTCCTGATGCCAGAGGTCAAAGGAGAATGGCCAGACTGGTTCGAGCTGATAGAAAAGCAGCAGTAACTCAACTAACCACTCGCTATAACTGAGGAATGCAGAAGAGCATCTCTGAACGCACAACACGTTGAACCTTGAAGCAGACGGGCTACAGCAGCAGAACAACCCACCGGTGACACTCCTGTCAGCTAAGAACAGGAAACCATGTTATGTTCAAAGTCACTTAAATCACCTTTCTTCCCCATTCTGATGTTCAGTTTGAACTTCAGAAGATCATCTTGACCATGTCTATATGCCTAAAGGCATTCAGTTGCTGCCATGTGATTTGCTGTTAAGATATTTGCATTAGCATGCAATTGAACAAGTGTACCTAATAAAGTGGCCGGTTAGTGTGTAGTAGATTAAATCGTTCATCATGTGATCTATAATAGTTGTGTCTTCTAGTGTGGGCAGTGTGTGGACCAGATCAGGCTGAGACTCTTCTCCACTTCAGATCTGCTATCTGCACGCTGGGCCGAATCTCAGCGCTTCATCTGCACTGTCCAGAGGGAGGTTTCGCTGACTCCCCTCCACCTAAGGCCAGTGCTGTAGGGGTGGTGGATCATTCCATCTGCTTGCATCTCAGTGTTCAGGTAATGCAGAGTAAGATTTTCCTTTCTAAAGTAAGGATGCTTCTATATATACACACTGCTGATGTCTCATTCTCTCTCTGTCAATGTAGAATGGTATTAATGCTGACAAACAGAGAGCTCTTCTCTCTCAGCGCAGAGAAAAGCTGGCATCCAAACTCAAGCAAGCCCTTGCTCGGACATACGTGCCCAACTACACAGAAAAAGTACCTGATAAAGTCAGAAAAGAGACGGAGAATAAGGTGAGTACAGAAGATAATGGGGAGTTTTACCTCACAAAATCTGTGCAGACCATCTTACACAATGAAGCCTATTGTAGGACCTTTTCTTTTTTGCATTGTGACATTATTTTGCCATTATAATTATGCAAACAATTATATATTATTTAAATTGTAAAATCATCATGCAATCATTATGTATATCATGCTAATATTTGTTGTATTGTAATCAAAATTTTTTTTTTTTATTAATCTAATGACAATTTGGAAGACTTCATTGGTAATTCCTTTCAATTCCAGAGGTTAAATATGACATGGATTTTCTTTGTAAGATTCATCCACCTCTACATGAGAAAGATATTTGAAAACCAAATATAAATAGCTAGATATAAATAGCTATAAATAGCTGTCCGGATTTCTATGTTACTTGAAATGCATGAGGTTTCCTTGCAAGCCTCATTGCACACTGTTTTCACACACTGTTGAAATTCCATTTTCAACAGAAAACATTATTTATTTTGTGTTAATAAAGTTCAGTATGAGATTATGCACATGTATTTATGTGCTTTAAAAAGTTTATGCATGCACTTCATGCTTCATTCTGTATATCCCATGAGAAATCTACATTCTTGTCAATAGAATAATATATACAGCTGAATAAGGAGCTTGCATGCATTTTTTTTGTGTTCTAAAATAACCAGATCACAGCTATGGAGAAAGAGCTGAAGAACATTGAGGACCAACTTTTGGCTTTGGAAGAAATAAGGAAAGAAGTCTAATGGACACATTGAACCAAATACTAAAGCCATCCAATAACCAGATGGAAAGAATACTTTTTTCTTTTAGTAAATCTGATGAAGATGCCTTGAAACAGGCAATGAGTCACTGCTTTATTCAACAACAACAACAAAAATGTCTGGTTCATATTTATTATGTTGGTTTCGATGTAACATTAATGTAAAATAAATTATTTACCAAATAACACAATTGTTGAATCATTTTACTTTTGTGTGCCTTTTTTTTCATCATATCAAATTCTGTGAAATACATAAGAAGACTTACAAAAGGTTGTTTTAAGATTAATTTCATTTTTTTGTAAATAAACACCTCATCTATGCTTTATTAATTAACATGTTCTTTGCTCTGCCTATAGATATGAAGGAAAAAACTAGTCTGAAAAAGGTTCATTGGTGAATGTGATCTATTTATATAAACAGCCTGTTTTAGGACCATTAGGCTATATTATTTTATTATGTTATACAATCTTATACATTATGCTAATATATGTATATATATATATATATATATATATATATGCATTACTACTATCATAAAATATATAGTATTACGCCTTTACATTCAAAATTTAACCACCAACATCCATTTTAACCTGTATTTGTAATGTATGTAATAACCGATTTATCTTCACTTCAGTAAAACCAGTTAAATGATTGTCAAAAATTGTTTCCGATTTTTGCACTTTGGTTACATTTTATAACAATAACATTATCTCAAGTTATGCATTTATATTGCATACTGACCTTATCAAACACAAGCACGTTTCAAAGCAAGACAATTCTGTGTGTTGGCTGTAGGTGTCGTCATTGTTGATTGTGTCATTGTTGCCTATCTCAGCAGGGAACTCTTCCTCATCATATCTTCCCTATCAGTTGCATTCTAGGTCATACTCTGTGTTGTCTTCAATTTAATGATTCCTTCTAATCTACCATATTTGTTTTTTCATCGAAGGAGTCATGATAATAAAAATGGTCAAGGGTCTTCTGAACAGTAATGTGTTTTTTCATTGTGCTGAAAATGAAATATGAGCAATGCCCAAGAGATTCATATTAATAAGCCATGAGGAAATATCTAAGACCAAACACCAATCTACGGTTAAATAGTAAAATATTTTCTACATAGTATTTGTTGCACTATACCTTTAACCACTATGTTGCTGATCAATTTGACTGATTTTGAAATTTTGTGACCCATTGTCATTTAGCACGCACATCACCGGGTAAAATATGTTTAGGATTGGGATTACTGGGTGCTCGACAAAGGACCTTTGTCGAGCACAGGACATAATAAAAAACAGAAAAGACAAAATAATCGGCACACCAAAGGTCTAAAATATGTTAAAAACAAATAAAAAATAAATAAATAGTGGACTGGACTCACACACATTACATTTATAGTATGCAAAACATGTTTATAGTGGACTCGCACACAGGTTACATTTCGAGCATGTCGTCTGACGAAGAGCCTGCGTGCTCGAAACGTAACCTGTGTGCGAGTCCACTATAAACATGTTTTGCATATTTTGGTGCTTTGGTGTGCTGACTTTTTTCTGTTTTTTACTTTTTAAAATATTAAAATGTTTTTTTAATTTACTTTTTTTTTTTATTGTTGCAATACTGTTTATAATAGTCACGTTTATATTCTCAAGCATGTTTATTTTTTATTTGTTTGTTTGTAATGTGTTAGTCAGCATAAAAATCTAAATGGACAATTCCTGTTTTTATGGAATATTGCAGTATTATAAATGACTTATCTGTGCACATCATTATTTTTTTTTCATATGCCCTTTTAATCTTTAATCAAAATAATTTCCCCTCCCTCTTGCAATCTCTTTACATCTCTTTTATTTTCTGATGATGTGTTTACTGACGTGAGGGTGGGAAAATCTGTCACTCACGCGAGATCACAGCAATAGCAATCCACAACGATCCAAGAGCCAATCAATTTCCAATGGACAAAATTAAGTCCCGCCACTACATTTTTTCTTGTGCGATAATGATAAGCCATTTCACTCAGATAGGCTCTGGATAGGCTACATCACAATAGGTAAATACCTCAACTTCCGTTTCATACCGACTTTAATGTTAAAGGCTTGCTATTTTATCAGGTTGTTGTTGTTTTTCATAGTATGATTTTTGGGAATTTTATTGAATCCAATTAGGGCCATTTTGACCCCTGATTAAGATTTCAAACAAGGGTTACTGCGGGAATGCTGATTTGTTTTAAATATATATTTACATTTAAATTCTAGAAAAGGTTTAATTTTTTTTTTTTGCATTACACTGTTCTTATATTCATAGTAATAATAATGTTACAACTTACAATGCAAAACAAATCTCCAAAATAGGCTAAAATAAATATATATGTATTTCTTAATCTTGTGACATTGGGTTGATAATGACCCAGACAGTTTCCCCCGTGAGATTCATTCTTATGAATTTATTGCATGTAACAATCATGAGCTGCCCATCACCACCTCGCGATGGTTGCTAAGGCATCTTGTTGCTAGGAAAATGGCGAAGGGGAGGGAAGCGCGAGGGGGGCGGGTCATATTAATGAGTCAATCCGGAAGTGGAGAATCGCTTTGACTGTACAAACACACAGAGCGGCGGCGTCAAATGAAGCCCTCCATCAGTGCAAAACTGCAAATACGGACGTTTAAACCAGAGTCCTAAACCGCACGTTCTCACCTCGCCAGCTCAGAACGCTGCAGACCTTACCGGATGTGAAACACGGAGCGGGATAGCACACACACACACACACACTCGGGTAGAGATTGAAATGGGCGACAGCTGCAGGAATGGAAAGAGACGAATATTGACAGCAGTGCCGAGTGAAGGCGACCGATGAGGATGATGATGAAGAGTGAAAAGTGAAGCTTTCATTCTGACGGTCTGCATCTCTTCGGTCACGGCCATCTCGCCGTTTAACACCATCCTGTTCAGAGATGATGAAAGGTGAGAGCGGTCGTGGTTTGTATAAGTGTTAGCCACTGTTATATCAAATACCACTGTGATTTCCCCAGTTTGAATGCGAAACTGTTTCAAAGACCAGAATGCATCTATGAATACATCATTTTTAAGATGACCCTCATATTTTGGCATGAGTTGTAGCTTCAGGCAGGTTTAGTGCATCTCTTTCTGAGGATCAAAAGGGAAAGGCGGTCCAGTTGAACCTTTAACATCATGTCCACTCAGTAGTGTGTGTTCTGGACCTTCTGCCAGTGTTTGTGATGACAGACTTCAGCTGTGCGACTCACACTTTACCGGTCAAGCATGTTGTGCAAGTTAAACACAATGCCACGTCATCTTACACTATAACTTAACACTCTACTTTATCCTCAAACAAATACATGTGGATCAGTTGTGTTCATGTCGTGTAATTCTTTGAGATTCTTAAGCGCTTTTTAAAAAATCCTGTTAGTTGTCCCTATTATGGAAACTTATTTAAAAACTAATAGAATAATATAACGTAATACAGTAGCCTATGCAAATAACATGTAAAATGGAAAAAATGTAATAGTAAATAAATATGTAGGCTATGTGTTCAGCCAATCAAATTCAAGGACCAGGACCAGCATTATTGTTAACTAAAACTATTAAAAATCGTTTGCGTTAATCAAAATGAAGCTGAAATGCAATTTAAATATTAGATGAAAATCTTAAAGTAAAAAAAAAAAACAATTATGAAATATTAGAAATGTTGCCTTTGCAATGAACTGAAATAAGTTTAATTTGAAGTACTAAAATAACTTAAAACTTAATCAAAGCTAAATAGAAATATTTGACAAAAAGCTAATAAAAATGCCATAGCACATAACAAAAATACTAAAGGTTAAAGTAAAATGAAACTGAAAATATAAAAATAAAAAGAAATTCAAAATGTGAATAAATACTATAATAAGTAGGGCCTATGTAAATGGAAGCTTGTTTTCGCCATGGAATTGCGACTTATCTTACAATTCAGACTTTTTTTCCGCACTTTTTAACTCGCAATTGCGAGTTTATATTACGCAATTCTGAGAGAAAAAGTCAGAATTGCAATAGGCCTATGTAACCATGCAATTGCGAGAAACAAAAGTCAGAATTGTGAGATAAAAAGTCGAAATTACATTTTTTATTTTGTTGGTCAGTTTTTTACTTGCAATTCCAAAGTTTATAGCTCACAATTCTGACTTATTTTCTCAGAATTATGAGATAAACTCGCAATTGCAAGTTATAAAGACTGACTGAGTTAGAAAGTCAGAATTGCGAGATATAAACTGACTAACAAAAATAAAAAAAGGTAATTGCTTTTTGTCCAGAATTGCTAGTGGCAGAAACAAGCTTCTATATATAAATAATACTAAAATAACTCTAACCAGAACTTACTGTATTCATTTGTATAATCATAATAAATGAAAATGAGATTGTCTGCAAACAGTTTAAGGTTTCAAAATAATCCTTTAATTGTTCAGTGGTTGCTAAGGTTGGGTTCCCACTGTTTTATTTTAAGTAACCATAACTGTAGCAATACTATAACAATAATTATAGCTTCCATGGTGCATTTTATTCTTCACTTATTCTCCAGTTTAACCCTACATTTCTAATGTTCTAATTTCTAGTTCCTACATTTTGTGGTTAGAACAGTAAAACAGCTAAACTTCCATCTTTTCTAATATCTAGTTCCTACATTTCGTGTTTAGAAAAGTAAAACAGCTGAACTTCCATCTTTATAAATGAACCTTTCAGGATGTCACGTCACGTGTTAATGCGAGTGAAGGAGGGTGTTAAAAGTTCTTTGGAGCGTTAACTGGCAGTGTTGGCTCTTTGCATGGGTACAGTACTTCCCTCCCCTTTCCTTTCTACTCCCCTCCCCTTTCGCTCATCTGTTTCTTGCCGATCAGCTCCTTGTGAATAGTTGGGGGAGAGACGGGGAAACATAATCTGCTCTGTGTCCAGGTAATGCTTAACAATACCTCTTATCTGTTCCACACGATCCACTGCCAAATAGGCAACTTTTGGACATCTTGTTTTACTTTGTGGTTGACTTGTTCTTGGACTGTGGTCTTCATGATCTCTTGGCGTCTCTTGCTTTTTTTGTATATAAATAATGTTTGACCCTCTTTCTCGTTCTTTCTTTAGAAATCTTTAAATGTACAAATCTTGTCTTTTGCCTGTGTTAAAAATCTTCTGTTTAGTGGATGCATTTGATTCCAGGTGTTTTTGATGAAACTTTACGCTTAAAGCATGAATGCAGGCAGAACTGGGAACTGTCATGTTTATTCCGCAGGAAAAAGCATGAGGCGAGTTTCAAACCCGTCAAGGCCTAAATGGTTCCGTCTGTCCTGCTGATTGTAGATTCGTGAGTGAGTAGTTAGACTTAGACATCTTTACTAAGGGTTAAGTGGAGATTAGTTACTTGCTTGCAGCCAGAAGATTACTGAGGTTATTATTGGCACAGCAGACGCCTTTCCTGTGCAAAGCAATTTATTAGGTGTTTTTTAATGTCTGTTGTCACATTGTAACTCTTAGGCTGTTTCATTTAACCCTTTAGCACTGGTAGTATATGAAATGGAAATGCGTTTGATTGATGTTCACAGTGTTATGTGTGATGCACATAGAATGACGAGCAGTCGTATGACCCTGTATTGACTTTTGTGTACGGCTCAAAAAACAATGAATGGACTTTGTCATTGAACAGTTTATTTCACTAGCTGAACAGTATCTGACTAATGTCAGAAAGGAAAGCAGGTCGTTTTAGCTGTAGATTTCTGTAGTTTTAGCTTCTGTGCTTCAGATGCAGATTGTTACATTTTTTTTTAACCTTGTTTCTTTCGATTAAAGGAAACATTCTGTCATCATTAACTCACTCTCATGTTGTTCCAAATCCAAACCCATAAGTCTTTTGTTCATCTTCGAAACACAAATGAGAGATTTCTGTCCCTCCATTAAAAGGCTATTCACCCATAACTCTGACTGTTAAAAATGTTTAAAAAGAGATTGTAAAATAAATCAATATTCATCAAGTGATTTAATCTTCTGAAGAGACACAGTGGCTTTATATGAGGCTTTAACAGATTTAGGTAATTTGAGAGAATAATGCTAATTTCTGCAATTTTGTATCTCATATGCTATTGTTAAATATTAGTTTGTCTATGTGCATGTACACTACAGTTCAGAAATTTGGGGTCATTTTTTAATACTTTTATTCAGCAGTGACAGTAAAGACTTTTAGGTTGTTTCACACCTGGCTCCTATAGAGCACTTGTTTCGGAACCAGTTGTGTTTACTCCATTACTTCGGTTCGTTAAGGCATGAAAACGGCAATCTACACCGAAACAATCAGTCTGAGTTTGCCAGAACGTGGTTGTCCTGGCCCGCTTAAAATTGAACTCTGGAGCTGTTTGCTTGTGGTGAAAAAGCAATCCGACCCAACGGACAATGTGTGATGTAATGATGACGTACATTGCGTGAAAATCATCAGTTTGTTTTGATAATGCCTTTCAAAATGTATCGTGGATTAACCTAGAGCAAAGACGAAGCACGCCTTTTTATTTTAAAACGGCGCCTAATTGCTTTTCTCAAAAATAGGTACAAGGTAGGAATGTCCTTGATTCATGCTCAAAATGATAAAGTAGTATAATGACAGCTACAAAGAAAGCCACAATAAGCCCACAGATCCGTTATCTATCCATCCTGACGGATGACTGCTATTAATGGAATCCCAGTGTTATACCAAATTCTGTGACCCATCGAATTATGTTACCGTACACATAATGTAGTGATGGTAGGGTTAGGATTAAGATCGGGGTTAGGATTAGCTCAATACACAGAATTCGGCTCAACACCGGAACATTAACAGGTGAAAAATGAGAAGAGTTTTTATTAACACATTTTGGTCCATTTAGAAATGTCGCCTTGTGAAAGCAAACCGAACAAAGAAGAAATTGTAATTGACTGTAAATAATTTCAATCCCTGCTTTGGAACAAAGCAAACGACCTACAGGTCTGAAAATACTCTTACATTGTTGCAAAATATGTCTATTTCAAATAAATGCTGTTCTTTAGATGTTCAGTTCTTCCTGGCTGGTAGCTCGCAGAGACTCTTTGCCAATGACAGACTTCTGTTCATTGATCATGACACATGGTAACATAAAACCACACTTGGTACTACTGTGAATTGTGAAACTGACATCATATAGAATGAATCTTTCCGAATTTCACTCTCGGGAATTGTAGGCCTCATTTAGAAGGAAATTCCTTTCTGGTATACAAATTACGTTGGTATGGCCCACTTAGAAAAAATAGGCTAGCTCTTGTTAGTAGCCTCAGTCTGCCCCTACCGCCCAAAGACATGTGGGGTCAGCTAATTGGGATCCAGAATGTCTCTAAAAACACAGGAGGCGGCTTTAGCGTGATATCTTAGTGGTGATTTTTGGTTCAGTTCACCCGACTGTGAAAAAAAAATCATCATTGACTGTCATGATAATTATGGAGTGCTCTCTCGCAATGATGGCGCACGGCGGTCTGATCAAACTGTCAGATTTAATTACTCTGGAGTGCCCTCAGCCTGCCAAGAGCTGGGTTTGCATATAGTTTTCAAAGCATGCTGGGAAGTTTGTACTTCCTAGAGCCCTCCTGTGGAGTGGGGTGAATGAAATACTCTAATTTGTGTTCGAGATGAAGGCAGCTGTTGTGCAGATGAAACATTGGGCGAGACCGTTAGTGAATGAAAGATTTAAGGGTAATCATCATACTGCGATAAATTCTTCTTTACCATGGCCCAATGTTTCTCGTCCAAACATCACTACGACATGATGTGAATGTAAAGAGCCATCACACAAGATTGTGGTTGAATTGTGGGTAACTGGCTTCAATGGGTGATTCATCATAACTGCAGTCAGCAGGTTTTAAGACAAACTGTCAACTTCTGTTCAAACGACAGATATTCCCCAATGGTAATGGAACTTAGACTGAGTTAACACTGAGACTGTAAAGCCTGAAATACATTTTAATATATATATTTAGAAATATATACATTTTATAATTTCATAATAATAATAATTATTAATAAATATAATTTAAATATATCATTTATATATACATATATATTATATTATTCATAATATATTTTCAAATCAAGCTCTCCTTCTTTGTGGCATAGATTCAACAAGGATCTGGAAACATTCCTCAGAGATTTTGGCTCATATTGAGATGACCGCATCACACAGTTGCTGCAGATTTGTCGGCTGCACATCCATGATGCAAATCACTCGTTCCATTACATCCCAAAAGTGCTCCATTGGATTGAGATCTGGTGACTGTGGGGGTCATTTGAGTATAGTGAACTTATTGTCATGTTCAATGTAGTTTGAGATGATTTGAGCTTTGTGACATAGTGTGTTATCCTGCTGGAAGTAATCATCAGAAGATGTACACTGTGGTCATAAAGGGATGGACATGATCAGCAACAATACTCAGGTAGGCTGTGGCGTTTAAATGATGCTCAATTGGTACTAAGAGGCAAAAAGTGTGCCAAGAAAATATCAACACACCATTAAACCACCACCAGCAGCCTGAACAGTTGATGCAAGGCAGGATGGATCCATGCTTTCATGTTGTTTATGCCAAATTCTGATCCTACCATCTGAAAGTCGCAGCAGAAATCGAGACTCATCAGAGCAGGCAACCTTTTTTTCTTCTATCTTCTATTTTCCAATTTTGGTGAGCCTGTGTGAATTGTAGCCTGTTTCCTGTTCTTAGCTGACAGGAGTGTCACCGGTGTGTTGTTCTGCTGCTGTAGCCCGTCTGCTTCAAGGTTCAACGTGTTGTGCATTCAGAGATGCTCTTCTGCATTCCTCGGTTATAGCGAGTGGTTAGTTGAGTTACTGCTGCTTTTCTATCAGCTCGAACCAGTCTGGCCATTCTCCTCTGACCTCTGGCATCAGGAAGGCATTTTCAGCCCCAGAACTGCCACTCACTGGATATTTTCTCTTTTCAGACCACTCTCTGTAAACTCTAGAGATGGTTGTGTCTGAAAATCCCAGTATATCAGAAGTTTCTGAAATACTCAGACCAGCCCGTCTGGCACCAACAACCATGATACGTTCAAAGTCACTTAAATCACCTTTCTTCTCCATTCTGATGCTCAGTGTTGAACTTCAGTAGATCATCTTGACCATGTCTACATGCCTAAATGCATTAAGTTGCTGCCATGTGATTGGCTGATTAGATATTTGTGCTCATTAGCAGTTGAACAGGTCTACAACATTGTTATAGTGAAGTTAGATTTTAATAATGTAGAAAATACAAATAATTATCAAACTAAATACAGTAGTCAACATTTGAAGTGTATCAAAGTTAATCAAAGTTGTCCTAAGACAAGAACGGGTATTGTTCAAAATTCATGTATAACTTTGATTAAAGGTTTTGATCCACTTCAAATTTTCAACACAAATTTTCAATGAATATTGTGTTCTATACAAAGTAAACATAAGATTTCAGATGCACCAGATTTTCTTTATTCTTGCTATTACTTGATCAAATTCAGTCAATATTACCCAGCAAAAAGACGTGCATCATGAGGCATTAAACAGGCCTTATCTGTTCTGTACCTCACTCTTATCTGTGATTTATTTATTTTTGGGTTTATCCTCATCTTTAAATTTATATCTTCCTTTTCCCCGTTTTATAGCATTTTCCTCACTACAGTCCCTTGTGTGGTGTCACTGGGCCATGGTTCGCAAGAAAGGATCTCTTATTTTGTGTGGAGCATTTCTGTTTGTCGCCTGGAATGCCTTGCTCCTCCTCTTCTTATGGGGGAGGCCTCCCATTGGCCGATTTGGTGAGGGAGGCGGAGCTGAACCAGGGGCCGGAGAGGAATGGGGAGCAAAAGTGGGTGGAACTAACGGATTGGCCGTTGAAGTGATCAGATTGGCCGAAGAAGTAGAATCGGAACTGGAGACTCAGAAGAAGCTCCTCAAACAGATACAGAGTCACAGGGAACTATGGGAACAGCGGAAAGAATTGGGAAAGAGGGAATCTGAGGACACAAAAGATGAAAAGAACATTGAGCAGCCGAAAAAACTTCAGCAGATTCCTGCAGTTCCTCTAAGTCATAAAATTGTAGATGATACAAAAACTGTTACGAAAAAAACACAGACGCTAATGGTTACGCCACCTCGGCTGGTCACGAAGGAGCAGAAACTGGACCAAGAGAACAAGCAAATTGCGGAAAATGAAGTAGGCCTTACTAAGCCAAGCCCTCAAATCATTATCCCAATTCTCGTCATTGCCTGTGACAGAGTAACGGTGAAGAGGAGTTTGGATAAATTGATACAGTACCGTCCTTCTGCTGAGCTTTATCCAATCATTGTCAGCCAGGACTGTGGCCATGCAGATACGGCAAGGATGATTGGCTCCTATGGCAGTCAGATAACCCACATCAGCCAACCGGATCTTGCAGACATTCCAGTGCGACCTGATCACAGGAAGTTCCAGGGTTACTACAAGATCTCCAGGCACTACCGTTGGGCTCTGAACCAAGTGTTCAATGTCTTTGCTTACTCCACAGTGGTCATTGTGGAGGATGACTTGGAGGTAAGATCATGAATATGTTGTCATTTATGACTAGTACTCAATGTTGTCAAATTCCTCCTGCATTTGAGCATCATTATATGTTAACCAGGTCTGAATAATACCGTATCTGAAAGTAACTCACATTTTTCCTATTTTATAATTCATGGAGAGGAATTTTGAAAAGAGCTTTTCTCTCGCTCATAGGGAATATTTTCATTTGCACATTTCTGAACCCTTTCCTTTGAAATTCTCTCAGGTGAACTGATTACAAAGTCGAATATGCATTATGCACCCGAAAAGCCATCAATAGGACAGCGGTTAAAGCTCCAGTTCTGTTGTCATGAGTTCTCTAAAGGAAGGGATCAAGGTCCTTGTTTAACTTTGCTATTCAGGCAAACATGTTTTTAGCATACTCCTTACTGTGTCCTTTGATGGCTGTCGTGGCGATTTTTGTTGAAATAGCAAACCTTCATACTCAAGGTGAAATGACAGAGTTAATCAATGACAAATAACAGTTATCCATGAATATGGCATGGGCAAATCTTTTAAAAATATAGTTTAGGACACACTTAGGAGTACTCTTTGTATACATGTGGTTTTATAATTTCAAGAAGAAGAAAAAATTAAATAACCAAGTAAAAAGTAATAACATACTTTCCTTACATCTTGAATACATGTACATGTACGTTTAAAAAAACAAAACAAATTAAATATCATTATGCTTTTGGGGAATTGCACCACATGACATTTTACAACCAAACATGCCTTGTAATTTTTTTTAGAGAATAACATAGCTGTCTTTAATACACAGTCATGAGTGTCTGCAGGGTCCTCTCTATGATATAATTTCCTTTTTTCTGCATGCTGGTTGCACCAGATCTGGTGGTCGCCGTATGACTTTGATTTGGTGGACAAATATTTTTTTCAGTTATTGAACTTCTACTAGTACTTATATACTTATTTGATTAGCACATTTAACTGGTCAGTGGATTAATTCTAAAGCTCTACTGAGCATCATAGTTAAGCAAGCACCATTGAGATTACCTAAGGCCCAAACTCATATTTTGTAAATTGTTATAAAGAAGCCAACTGGCGGAACAAACCGACAGGACCTTGCGTGAACTAGCCATTTCTGTTCATCATTAGTTCCTCATTAGTTCATCTTAATGTCTTAAAACTGCTCTTATTTCATCTTATAGGTGGCCCCAGACTTTTTCGAGTATTTCCGTGCGCTCTACCCCATATTGAGTTCGGATCCGACTCTGTGGTGCATTTCCGCCTGGAATGATAATGGACGGGATGGGCTGGTCGACCCGGGCAAGGCTGACCTCCTTTACCGGACCGATTTCTTTCCTGGCCTTGGATGGATGCTTTTGAAGGAAGTCTGGGCAGAGTTGGAGCCCAAGTGGCCCAAAGCATTCTGGGATGACTGGATGCGGCAACCCGAGCAGCGGAAGGACCGCTCGTGCATTCGTCCCGAGATCTCGAGGACTATAACTTTCGGCCGAAAAGGCGTCAGTTTGGGTCAATTTTTTGACCAGTATCTGCGCTACATAAGACTCAATACTGAATTTGTGCCTTTCACTAAACTGGACTTGTCCTACTTGGTCAAGGAGAAGTACGATGAAATCTTTGAAAAAGAAGTGTATATCGCCCCTTTGGTGAAGGTGGAGGAACTACAACAAGGTGGAAGCCTGAAAGGTTCTGGGCCATTTCGAGTTCAGTACTCCAGTAGAGACAGCTTTAAAGTGCTGGCCCGCAACTTGGGAGTTATGGACGATTTGAAGTCAGGGGTTCCCCGTGCCGGTTACAGGGGCGTAGTCAGCTTCATATCCCGTGGACGAAGAATTTATCTGGGTCCCCCTGAGGGCTGGACTAAATATGACACCAGCTGGAGCTGAGGAGGATGAGGTTTGGACCACAAAAGACAAGAAATAGAAAACTCACAACTATTATTACAAGTGAAGGAGAGAAACGCCCTCTCAAACCAAAGAAAACAGAAGCAGGGTGTAAAACGTTGAGAAAAGCTAAGATGTGAGTATAAAATAACTGCTGTTTTGTCATGGAAAAACTTCCAGGCATGCTGGGAACAGCACAAAAGGTGGTGCATCGTATTTGCGCAGCAATCATGCAACAATCTTCCCTCAGAGAAAATAGTGGAGTTACGCTGCAAACAGCTCTTATGCAGAATAGCTTATTATGACATGAAGAAAAATGATCACATTTTTTATTATTACTTGATTTTATTATTATTTTGCTTTTAACATCAATGCAAAAGGCATACAAGAGGTCTTATATTTTATCTTACCACAGTGTCTTTTGGGAGAATCTCACGATAACTCACATTTAACTCCAAAATCAAAAGAAAAGAATATTTTTATATTTACATTGCATACATACAGAAGAAAGATTAAGCCTGTTCTTGGGTCCATCCATTTTTTGTGTGTGACTATTTTAATCATAAGGAACCCCCCATTTATCATTAACTTAATGATTTGGAAAGTTTTACTTTATATATATATATATATATATATATACAGTAATACTGAATATTTTAAAATAGTAATATCATTTTTTGCTTTAAGAAAAAACAACCCAATATCCAGATGTTTCTTGACAAGTTTCGTGAGATTCAGCCTTTGAAAGACCAATCTGAGTGTTAAAATTCCATTTGTCTAAGTTTTATTAGTCCCTGAACATAATTATAAATGAAAATTGTGTATAGGCTAATTGTCTAATTTGATTGCGCATTTATATGAATGCATCAGACTTGTTCATTTGACTTTATGTAGCACCATTGAATCTATGAAGTTCAAGCTTGTGGCAGAAATTATTCAAGGCTTGTGTAACTGACATACCAAATCTCTGGACAACATCTCTTCTGTGCCATTCTGTTGAAGTACTGTACTTGAACCTGTTTTTGTTTTAACTGCTCTTCCTGACCTGGGAGAGCTCTTATTGTTTTTTAAAGATGTTGTAGGTTTGTTGCAAAACCAGTGGTCATAGAAAATCGCTTTACATGTTCTTACGGACGAATGATCGGATTTCAGTAGGGCAGAGATGAGAGGAAACATTTTAATTAAATGTACTGTATTTAAATGTTTGGGAGAGAAATGATCTGATATGAATGCAAATGCAGTATGAAGAAGTGTGAAACCACTGCCTGACATGTTTATAACTTTATTACATTGAGAATAAAACAGACTATTTTGATATTTGACCGTATATGCTGTTTTTTTTCCTGTTTTATATCTTATCTGGCGACTTCCTTCCAGGGATCATTTGTCCAAACCCCCCACATCAGCATTGATTCAGGCGCTATTGTGACACCTTTGACGTCTCTGTCGCTCCAGATTTCCTTTCTCACTCCTCTTGTGTCCTGTTGACTTCCTGTCTCATGGTTCTCTGCTGTTGACTTTACTATGTTCCTTTCCTGTTCTTTACCACCAGCAACTTTAGAAAAGCCAAAGGATGTATGTTACTGATTAGATGAATTGGACATTCATTTTGTGTTTTTATAGCTATTAATCTGATCTGAATCTACCATGATTAATTGATGTTTAGTTTTGAACTACTTGGTTTATGCAAACAAAACTGAGTCGGCTTATTATACTGAAACAAAGCTGTCTATGCAGGAAACGCCGATGTGGTGATGACACAAGTTTGGTTGATGGACATCCAACTCATGTGCATCAAATTCCACAACAATTAACCATTTCATCTTCTACATCCATGTAAAATAAAATATATTTGTGAATTGATCATTATGAATTTAATACATTTTCATTCATTTTATCACTAACACCTTAAGGTTCCATTAATTAACATTAACAAAGAAAAGTAATTCTAAAACATTTATTAATCTTAGTTACAGTAAATACATTATTCAAATCAAAAGTTAATCTGTTAGCATTATTTAATGGACCTAAGCTAACATGAACAATAAACAGCTGTATTTCAATTAAATAATCTGATCGGAATTTCGGCTATCGGATTGGGTCAAATCTTGAAAATGGGTTGTTCAAAAGAAAAAGAAAAATATTCTGAAATCTGATTAGATCACAAAATCCAATCTTGGTTTTAATCTGGATCAAATATTCACTTTGTATTGAAAACCTTTCAGCAAGATTGGGATACCTTTGATCCAACAAAAAAAAAAAAAAATCAGGATTACCCTGATTCCAGCAGAAGGGTGGATTTCAGGAACAATTTTATTTAAAAAATTTGTATCGTGTAATATATACACACATTATTTGTTTTTATTTAGCTATTGATTAGTTTAACTATTTAAGCCTTTCAGTACAGTAAAGTAATAAATGTTGGCACCATAAAATAATCCCCCAAACAGCAGTCATTATCAAACAAAAATAATACATTTAATTTTAAGTGTTTTTTTAAACACTGTATATGAACTACAATGGCACATTCATCCGAGATGAAACAGTTGAAAGCAGTTTCTAACAATTGCATTCCTTATTGCGAGTATATTTGTTTGTTTTTGTTGTGGGTTTATGAGGGGCTACCAAAACTCTAAAGGCACATGGTGATGGGAGGAAATTAAGTTGAATTATTTTGCGTTCACCTGCTAATGTTCTGCGTTACCCAAGAAACTTTGCATTCACTTTCAAAACCTGAGTTCTTGGGAGTTTCTTGGGGGAACGCAAAACTTACGCGAGAGAACGCAAAACTTACGCGAGAGAACGCAAAAGCATTCAAATATAAATGTTTTCTCCCATTTTATTTTGTCTCTTTAGTGCCTCCGTAAGGGGTCAAACTGTTTAAAGGAAATTATGGGGGAAAAATGGAAGGGGATGTTTGTTTGTTTTCTTCTTTCTCTTCAAATAAAACTCTTAAAAGTGACCTGACATTGACTCTTCTACCTGTTGTTGTTCTTTACATAGCTAGTAACCTACATTGTGAAATGTAATCCAGATTTGGAAAACTGTGAATCTGGATCAGGATGATCCAATCCTATTTTGCTTTGAAAAACTGGCACAAAAGTATTACCTTATCCTGGTTAGCAAAACATGGGATTTCCAAATCTAGATAATTCTGATCCAGATTCAACTTTTTGAACAACTGGGCCCAGGTGTATTTTATTAAGGCCCTTCATTTTCTATGTTCTGGTAGTCCATCTCGCCAACAGTTGAGCGCCTAGGCTTTTCAAAGTTGATTTTTTTTTGACAGTCAGCATGGACAGATGTAATCTAGTGGCCTTGTTTTTCAAGCATTTAAATCACCCGCATACAGTGCGAACACAAAAAAAAAACTGTCTGGTGCGCATGCATGGACATCAGTGGACTGTGCTGATGACAAATTACATTACACGAACAAGGGACATTTTTGAGTGTTCAGGTATCAGCCAAAGGTCTTGCGATCTGCTTTGAGATGTGAAATGAACCAAGTGTGAAAACACAAATGTTTAAATAATTGAAAAACAAAGTGTCTGTAAATTAAACAAACATAGTTTATTTGGTTTAACAAGCATTGATAGTTCATCAAAGTGGCCGTTTGTCTGGCAATCGAACGAACACTGAATTTATTCCATTTATACCTACTTTACTGGTAACAAGCATTCAGGATAACTGCTAATATGTTTAATAACTTTCAAACAATTTTACATCAATGCCATCAACTGTATGGTCCATTATAATCCAATGATGAAAACTCCTCACACAGAAAACAAAAAAATATGCCTCTTCATTATAAATAACTAAAACAGAATGAGGCAAATGGGAAGATTATTCATATTGAGAGGAAAAATAATAAAAACGTAACATAATTTTTTTTTCCCTTTCAACAAGCAAAAACAGAACTGACCTACTGAGGAGGAATTAAGAAACCCACCACATTTAGGATAACACTGCGATATGAGCTCTTCATTTTTAAGTACACTAACACAATAACAGTCTATATGAAATAAAAAACTCTCAGTTGCTATCAAATGCTACAATGCCATGCATCCTCTGAAGAAACTGCTGCCTGATGTGTGGTCATCTTTATCGGGTTTGTTCAACTAGGAGAAATAGATGCACAAGGAGAAATCACGTAAGTGCTCATGACTGCAAAAATTAAAAACAATTTTTTTTTTTTTTAAATTGACATTATTTTAAACCTTTTTTACATTACAAATAAATCTGGACAATTTTAAAATATTCCATTCAAGAAATAGTTCACCCAAAATTTTTATTCTGTCATTATTTGGTCTCCCTCATACAAATGTTCTCATTTTGGACCTCGACACCCCCACTCTCAATTCACTTTCTTTATATGGAAAAGAGCAACCTAGAATTAACCAAATATCTTCTTTTGTGGTTCACAGAATTTTTTTTTTAAATGAGGGTGAATAAAACATAAGAGAATTTAATGTTTTTGTGAATTAACCCTTTAAAACCAGCCTGTAAAGATGGAATATTAACACTCACTGTACGACGAGATGTCAATCTCCTCTGGAAGTTCGCTGATGTTCACCTCAAACCTGTCCTGAACATCGTTCAAAGTGCGTGCGTCAGTCTCATCTGACACAAAGGTGATGGCCAGACCTTTCGTTCCAAACCTGCCGGCTCTCGCAACCTGAAGGAATGAGAAAAGTTAAAGCTGTTCAGGTGAATCCATTTACAGCCCATGATTTGGCTCTGTTTGACATAAGCCAATGTCACGTGAACTGAACCGACCCTATGCAGGTATGTGTCCGAATCTTCAGGCATGTCGTAGTTGAACGCAATGTTGACTCTTTCGATGTCCATACCTCGGCCAAACAGGTTTGTGGCCACTAGGATTCGTCTCTGGAAATCCTTAAATTGCTGATATCGAGCTAGTCTGGGATAATAATGTGATATGAGCCCCCAAAAATCCTACCATCTTAACTATAACATTAAAGTGCATAATGTGTGAATGTTTTCTACCTTTCATCTTGAGGCATTGCTCTATGAATGGCAATGGCAGGGAAATTTTGCTCCACCAGCAACTGAGCAAGAGCGATACAACGCTGCACCGATTTAACGAAGATCACCACCTGCAATACTAAGCAGCTGTAACACCGTACCAACCAATTTTCATCATTAAAATGACAATACAACAAATTTTAATGGGCCTCTTAAAACCAAGTGGCCAAATTCACCCATTGACTTTTTCAAAGCATAGGTTATTCTTTTAGCTCACTTGGTGAAAAAAAAAAACATCGTCATCCAGCAATCCAGAGCTATTAATATTGTCTATATTAAGTATAAGAAATATAGAAAGTAATAGTGGACAGTGAATCTATAGGCCTAAATATAGAACTCAGTTTCTAAATCATGACAGTAACAACTCTTTTAATGTCACAAATGATTTATATTTCAAATAAATGCTGTTCTTTTGAACTTTCTATTCTTCAAAGAATCCTGAAAAACATGGTTTCCTCAAAGGAAACATGGAATAAATGACTTTTTTTTAAATTCAAATAGAAAACAGTACTTTTAATGTTTAATAATATTTCATTATATAAATGCAGCCTTAATGAGCATTAGAGACTTTAAAAACATTAAAACATGTTATCAACCCCAAACTATATATAAATACATTGCATATAATCATGTTATTTCTAGGTTTCAAATTTGAAATCCCACATTTTCAATGTAGTTTTGAACACCACTGTCTTTTATCCTCACACAAGTTCACTTCTACGGTTCCATTCCAGTGGGTTGTAGTTTGCATTTAAGTTGTATTAACTAAAGCTGTATTCAAATGGGATGAATTGTATTTTGCATTACAGCCTGTGAACGACCAGAGTGCATGTCACTTTCAGGTATGCAAATGTTTATTAGACAGTGGAAAATTTTGGTTTGAATAGATTTGCAAACTTAAACGATTAACCCTGGTCTCTTTTGAGTCACTCTAGATTTGAATGGATTAAACTTGGGATCTTGACTTTTGTGTGTGTCCTGGTGGACTCTCGAGATACCTGGTTGAACTCCAACACATCCAAGAGGTCAAAGAGCTTCCTGTTCTTCTCGTTGTCCTTCAGCTTGACGTAGTACTGCTGGAGGCCGTGAAGCGTCAGCTTGGTCTCATCGTCCACAAAAATTTCCATCGGCTAGGACAACCAGTGGAAGCAGGGGGAAGGTGAGGAGGGGTGGGAGAGGAGTGTGCAGGTTCAGGGGGTTAAGATTGTGTGAAGACACATACAGGAAAGTTGACAAGACGTGGGTGGTGCAGATCATAGTGTTACAAGGGTGTGAAAGAGGAAGTGGTTATGATGACAGAGTGACGCCATGGGTGGAATGGGTGTCGATGTGGACAGGGAAAGAAAGACACCAGAACACAAAGAAAAACAAGGACAAAAGAGGTATAAAGATTTTAGCAAAGGACAGTGGTGGGGGAGGGGACGACAATGAGAAGGAGAACATGGTGTTAGAAAGGAGAGAGTTATGAAACAGCAGGAGAAAGGGAAGGAAGAGAAGGGATGGGGGTTAGACTCACCCTCCCCTCCCATCCCAAGCCAATGAGGACGCAACACAAACACACACACACACAGTCTCAAACACGTTGATAAATGCTACCCTGCTGACCTACACTATATTTAGCAACCACTTTCAAGCCTAAAATCATATCTGTGCAATTTCTAAATAAACGTTCAAAAACTACAGATCTTTTGAGAAACACAAAGTAAAACTACCAATCAATGTGCAGTTTGGAAATGACATGAAATTGTAAGGAGTTTTAAGTAGTATAAAGTCAACATGAAATCAAAACTGACCCGATTTGCTTTCCAAATACACATTCCTGTTCTTAATGTGGTTGATTCATCAGTCTACAATTTATTTTCCAAATGGATCTTATGGATCTTTTTATGAATGTTTTATCTGTGCATGTGTTTCATTATTTTTGACCTTGTCATTTAAAGAAAAAATTATATAAACAAAATTAATTAAAATATAGGACTATTTTTTTTTCATTGGATGGAGGCAGATCCAATCAATTCAGATCCAATCAAAAAACAATGCATAGATATCCTCAGCCAACATTTTTTTCTTTTTTGATAATCTGTTTTACTCAGATGTGCATCACAATACGAAACAAAACATCTACCACTACTTGGTTTATATTAAAAATAACCAAACAGATATTGAGTCATTGAGGCTATGTTCACACTGTCAGTCCAAATCCTATTATTTGTGTATCCGATTGGAACCTGATTAAAGGCTATTTTCACAGTCAGTCCAAATCCAATTATTATTAATAGGACCACATAGCTTGAAACAGATTTGTAAAAATCGCATTTCATGTGATTTTTTGCCGTTCACACTAGCTAATTATAATCGGATTCCAATCTGATATGCACACAAATTGGAATTTGGACGGAAAGTCTAAATAAGGCATAAGTATGAAGCCAACTGTAGTCTGAATAACGTGTACATGCTAGATGAAACCGATCAACAACCAAATTATCTAAGTTCCAATTCCACAATTTCAGTTGGACTAAAGTATCGGCGTAACATTTAAAAAATATGAATAGAGGGAATGCATTAACGTCACTTCCCCGCCGGAACACGCCCCCCTCAGCGGGACTGAGTGGCAGAAGAGCTGCTGCGTGACTGGAGTTAATAGGGGAAACTGCGTTAACGCGAGTAAAACAAACTATTATCAGTTTAAACTAAAAGTTGGACTCGATATAGTGTTCCTTACAACTTATCAAAGATCCAGTGATCCATGGATATTGACATGCAGCCAGGAATCGTGTTTCCTGACATTTATATGTGCCTGATTTCGACGCCGGGGAAATAAATTAAGACAATTTGCCTGTAAACGTTTTATATAAATACAATATAGATAGGTCTTAATCCGAGTGATCACTTACATTAATGTTATACTGTATATCATCATATCGTCCAGCCCTAAAACTTGTATAGTTTTTTGTCAGTGTTTATTTAAAAACATCCAATTATGCAGAATATAGTCTGTTCTGTAGCTTTTTGCAGTCTGTAAAAATATACAGTACCTCAGATTTCTGGTCAAATCTAGTTGTACAGTCAATCGCAAAGCTCTTTCCCGTTTTAGATGTGTTTTGTGTGATTTTCACGGCATTCACGCTGAAAACAAATGCTGCCGCTCAGTCTTTTTGCCACTTGTGGGCGTGACCGCATTCACTCCGGCCGACGGTGACGTCATGCGCATACCCTCTATAGTTGCTTTTGTCTGACTGAAAATATATATTTTTAAAGTGTATTTAAATGCACTTATTATTTTAGGCTACTGGTAATGCAGCCCTTCAGTGTATAAGTTGGTGATAAATGCTGATAATTAACAGATTTGAAAAAAAAAGATGCATTACAATGGGAAAATTTCAACATTTAGCCACCATACTAGTCTTAAAGGGATAGTTCACTCAAAAATGAAAATTCTGTATTTCTTTCTTCTGATAAAAAGGATATTTTGAAGAATATGGGTAACAAACCAGTTGACTTCTATGAAAGTCAGTGAGGCCCATCAGCTGTTTGGTTACCCATATTCTTTAAGATATCTTCGTTTGTGTTCAGCAGAAGAAAGAAATTCATACAGGTTTGGAACAACTTGAGAGTAAGTAAATTATGACAGACTTTTCATTTTTGGGTGAACTACCCCTTTAAGCATGTTCTGGTGGTGTTTCAGTTGATTGCAAAGTTCATCCCAGTATAGTCTGTCCACTTTTTACCATCCTATCAAGTCCTGCGACCCCCCCACCCCCCATTTATGTTCTTGTTTCACCTGGAAATTGTCGCTTTACACAAGTACGAGTTATAAATGCCATTTCATGTTAACTTGAAACACTCATACACAACCTAACATTGTTACTGCAACACTATGTAACATTTAGCAGTGGGATGTTCTAACAAATCAATTCAGAAGGCCAAATTCATCCACCAGATTGCTTAATTAAATATACAGAGAACATCCTCAATCTGATCTATCTGTGCAGGTGGGACAGGATCTGGTCCACTAATACAAGGGTTGTGGGAAGAATAACAAATAGTGGTGGCCAAGTAAAAGTTACTGAGTTCACAATTATTTTCTATCACTATTAGGCCCTTAACAAAAGCACTATACTCCACCTTTATTAGTGTCTAACACACATCTTTGCACTTACCTTAGAGATGTTAAAGCAAATCTATCTTCACTTCCTGTCAATCAATCCTCTATTTGCTGCTGAACTGGTCTGTCTAAAGCTTATTTTACTATATTGTCTTCAACCTAATAAAGCTATCAAAGTGGATTACATTAGGCTGCATCTGAATATGCATAGTATTTATGTATAGTAACTCTCACTAAATGAGTGTATGTTTGAATCAGTTTTGAGTCATTATTTTATAGTATATTATGGTGCAACAGGAATTTGTTCATGAATATTTAGTAGAGCCACGTCACTTATGCCCCTCAAGTCATTCGGATTTTTTTAATAGGTGCAAAGTTGTATTTGACTATTTATGGTTTCTGTTTGAGTCACGGCTTTCAGTTGCTCTTTGCCACCTAACGGTTCTTCAAGTCCGTCTCTATCTACACCCGCGCATATCTCCTCTCCACTAAGTTTCTTCATCATCTCAGCCCTCTCGCTCCAGTCTTCCGCAGCTTAATCCTCCCTTTCTCTCTCTTGTCTTGTCCCTCACACCCGCGCATGCTCTCTTCTCCGTTTCGGGCCAGTTTTATTGCCTTGATTTTAACTTAGAAACAGACAGTGTTTTCTTTTTTCTTTGGGGCAGATGAGGAACCGTGCTAATCACAGACTGTCAGCTGGATTGATGAAGAGCTGTTCCATCATTGGCTGGTCCACCTGAACTCATTTATGCCACCAATGACTGAATCTTTTTGTTTCACTTTATTCCTCAGATGATTTCATTATGCTGTCTGCTTTGTTAAAGAGTAATTAATTGCAGCCATGGAGTGGCACTTTGTCGTGAATCTAATGTAGTTTTTAGCAGCTGGCTTGCTTTGTTAGACCGATACTTTATCGGTTTTAGTTTTGTGCCCCTTGAGAGTGTCTGGCAGCTGGTAACAGAATTTATGAAGCTCCAACAAGTGCTTCTTTTAATTAAAGGTTATTTGAGGACAAATCTCCAGGCTGGAATTACAGTCAAGCAGGAACTAAAGCAATTTGTCTTGATAAATAGATACTGAGAGTGAAGTATTATTTTAATATGAGGGATTTTGTTAGATTTGGGTCTTTTTTTTCATAATTAACTCTAAGTCCCTAAATGATATTTAAAGATGTGTTTATGCTTTGATTTATGGCCCTTAAGTGTATTTGAAGATACACTACATCCTTCCCTTAAAGACATCCTCTTATTCTGTTTAAAATATATTAAATGGACTCTTCATGACTTTAGCAAATGTTGTTAAAGGATCTTTACAGAGGATTGAGCCTGATGGATGGTGCAATATCTGTTTGCCAAACGGACGGGTGACCGTGTTTGCCAAATGCCGACACAGCGCTGCCAGCTGAGGCGGGGATTAAGGCCTTAACATCTTTTTCGCTGTGCCTCTATTAGTTAACAGTCTGTGATTATCAAACGGGCAGGAAAGTGGGGCATTTAGCGTTACGATGTGTCAGGGAGGCCGTAAATGGATCTCTTTCAGGTGTATATGAGGTGGTCTTGTGAAGGGAAGGAGCTGTTGACATGGTAGAAGTAGGAGAGGCGTAATTACATCTTGCATGAACTTCCTACAGATGGGACGGATCTCTTTACTCAGGGTAGCACTGAACATCATGACTTGCTTCTCGTGAGGGGTCATACGAAAGATTTCCTGGACATCCCGCCGCATGTCTGCAGGGGACAGTAAAAGATAAATGCATTTACAGTGCTGGTCAGAATTATTTGCCCATTATTATTTGACAAAAACAAAAAAAAGCAAACACTTAATATGGCTTTGGTTCATACAAGGATAAAAAAGTACTCCATGTGTAAAATTAAATGCTCTGCTGTATCTTTAATGCTGTGGGCCTAATTTTTTGCCAAAGGTCCTGGACATCTTGTTCAGATACATGGCATCATTGATTTGATATATTCATACATTGATTAAAATACCAACAGATAAAAAATCAAAACCTGACAACCTCTGCTAGAAATCTTGTAATGGGCCATGTTTGGATCTTCCAACAGGACAGTGATCCAAAAACAAACATCAAAATTAAAACAAAAATGGGTCACTGAGCACAAAACCAAGCATCTGCAATGGCCATCCTAGTCCCTGACCTGAACCCTATAGAAAATGAGTGGGCTGAACTGAAGAGAAGAAGCACCAACATGGATCTGGGAATATTCAGGAGAGATTCTGTATGGAGGAATGGTCTCTGATCTCTTGTCAGTTGTTCTCCAAACTCATCAGGCATTATAGGAGAAAACTCAGAGCTGTTATCTTGGCAAAAGGAGATTGCAAAAAGTATTTCATAAAAGGGTGCCAATATTTGTGGCCAACGTGTTTTGGAGAAAAACATTAATTTCATAATGTGATTTTCCCCCCACTGTCAATTCTTTTACTTCAATAAAAGGTTAGATTTTTTTCATTTAAAAAAAACTAATATATATATATATCAAAAGGTTAAACATCCATCTTTGATCATATTTACCAAGGGGGCAAATAATTCTGACCAGCACTGTATATTATTAAAAACTAATTATTGAATGTCATGTCGCAATTATCAGCATAGTACTCGTACTGTTTCTGAACTATATAGTGTCAGTATGAAGTGTGCACACAGAAATCTTTCAAAAATAGGGAAAATGTGCAGTACACAACAAATAACACTGAACAATGTTCTATCCCACAATGCAGTGCACTTGAGCTTATGTTTTAGTCTGATTATTTGTGTTTATTATTACAATTTTACTTAAAATTCAGAACTACAAACTTTTTCATACAACTGCACCGAGGTCATGTGACAGCAATCTAGCATACTACTGTTATCGTGGAATAATGCCTACTGTTTCACTTACTGATTTTAAAGGGATAGTTCACCCAAAAATGAAAATTCTGTCATCAGACAGAATAACTCACCCTCAAGGTTGTTTCAAACCTGTATGAATTTCATTACTCTGGTGAACACAAAAGAAGATATTTTGAATAATGTTGGTAACCAAACAGTTGATGGAGCCCATTGACTTCCATAAATACCATGGAAGTCATTGGGGTCAATAAACTGTTTTGTAACAAAATATTTTTGTGTTCAGCAGAAGAAAGAAAATCCTACAGGTTTGGAACAACTTGAGGGCGAGTAAATTATGACAACATTTACATTTTTGGGTGAACTATCCATTTAAAGAAAACTAGGCAGTACACGGTGAACTGCACACTATTCAAGTAAATTCCATTCTTAACACATCCATAGTTCAAAAAGAGATTGCTCACCAAGTTGCTCCAGCATTTTGTCGCATTCATCAAGGATGAAGTGCTTGATGTGTCGCAGGTTGAGACTCTTGTTGCGAGACAGAGCTAAAATACGTCCAGGAGTTCCCACCACCACATGAGGGCTCTCTCTCTTCAGCACCTCCTCATCCTTCTTTATAGATAAACCCCCAAAGAACACTGCCACCTGGGGGAGAGAGACAGCGTAAGCAAACGCATTTGAGAAAAGTTTGTCTTTGAAATGAAACTCCTGAATTTACAGTGACGTGGCAAACAATAATGGTAAGTGTATAGAAACGTAACTGTTTTATTTTATTTATCAGTATGAATTACCCATAAATATTAATGATATTATTAATATAATATTTGAAATGGCTATTAAAAATTATGTTTAATAACATATCTTTTACAATGAAAAAATATTTCATTTCCACCATAAAAAGTCACACATCAATATATAATTAACAGATGAATCTATTTTTCAAAATGTAATTAAAGGTGCCCTAGAATGTTTTTTTTATTTTTTTTTATAATGTTTCCTGGGTTACCCTTATAATGTTAGTATGTTTTTTAGATAAAAAATAATCATAATTTAGAAATAAATGGCATTTTTCCTAGCCTGCTTTTAGCCTCTGATTTGAACACTCTGTTTGAAGGGGCGTGTCTGCTGTGGGATTCAGTGTAACCGCGGCCACTGCTGTGATTGGCTGACATGCTTGCATATGAAATAGCAACGCATTACATGTGAAACTCTCTCCCGAATACTTTTACTACCGCTATTATACGTTTTTACTATAACAGCTATCGAGATTAACGAATCGTGAGATGTTTTTAAAGTATTTAGATCTATTCCCATCACATAAAATGTTGCCGTGATGACTGAGCATTGAGCAGATGACTGTGTTGATCGCGCGAATGAAGATCTTATCATTGCAAAGCAGTTTCTGCACTCTCTCTGCTTTCACCAATGCAAACACGATGATGTAAATACAGTAAGAGCTTCGTTGTGCAGTAACGTGCGTCATTGATTTCATAACGAGTTTGGCAAGTGTCCAGATAAACTCGCGCTGTGTGGAAAGATTGTTCTTTGATCGCTTTCTGTATATAATTTGTTCACAATTTAAATACGATTATTTTCATCCTACTAAAAGAAACGATGTGAATCTGATATTTTAGTCACTGTCTTGACTTACTGATGCATAAACAGTATTGAACGATTTTGAGAGAAAGATTACCTGTCTGAACTTGAACAATTACACATCAGAAAGTGTTGCTTGGTAGCTCGATCCGAGGCCAGCTCTGTATTGGCCCAAGTTGAGGAAACACTCGGTGAAATGTTTGGAAATTTCCAGAGAAAATAAAATTAACCCATTGTTTCTTCAGAGGCTCAGATGAAGGAACTAAAAATACTTTTGTGTTCATGTGTACATCCACACTGAGCAACTGCCATGCTTCGGCTGCGCAGTTCCGCCTGGCATTGAGGGCTGGCATTATGCAAATATTTGGAGGCGTACATATTAATGATCCCGACTATTGCGTCACAGTCGGTATTGTGTGGAGAACCGACCGTTTTTCAGGGGTGTTTTTCATAAACGTGAATTAAATGAGAACGCGAAAACAGTCCAGTTAGAGATTCACTCTATGTCATGTCCATGCACTGAACTCTTGTTATTTGACTATACCAAGGTAAATTCAATTTTGAATTATAGGTCACCTTTAATAAATTGCCACCCTGTATTATATTTGCTGAATGAAATCCAATACTTGTTTCTTATGAACTTTGGGTTTCTGATTTCAAAAATAGTGGTTATTTTCCTCTACAATTTCACACTTTCTTACAAAATATGTGAATTTTCATAACATTTTTGCTTGGATTATCCCTTAATCACCAGAAAAACTGCCACAAAGACATGATTCTAATCTTCCTCTGAGGCAGGTTAGAACTATTTGTTCATTTTTTCAGACGGTTTTCACATGTATGACATACTTTTATGCCTAATCCTGATTTCAAGGTTAGAATTATGGCCAGTGACAGAAGAAAATGCAAGCATGACCCAGATGTTTTCTGCTACATCTGAGGGTGTTTTACTACATCCAAACAGAACTGATTTATCTAGTGTTTATGTAAAGTGTTTTTTGAATGAAATGAAGTATTTGAACATAATTTTACACTCCTTTACAGACTGGAAGTTAAATTATGCATTTTGAATGTGCATTAAAGCTGATCCAAAAACATTTTTTATGAAATTTGCACAAAAAAACTACAGTAATCAGCTGGGGGTTTTTTTTTTAGACACAGCAGCAGACACAGCAGCAGGGCGGTGTTATTTTTATATCATTATATGTGAGCAATTTGGTGGACATTTTTGGTGCTGTATGCAAAAATAAATTTGGTACAATTTGGTAAAATTTGATGGTTGTGTTAATTATTTTGACAGTACTACATTAAGTTCAGATAATTATGTCAAATTGGTTGAGATATGCATTCCGCATATCAGGTAGGAATCAGTTGTCTACATTAATGGTGTGTTGAAAACGTTTTAAAATGACAAGGTTCAGTTATTGGTTTTACTTCAGATTCACTTGAGGTCTCGGTGGAAAAGAGAACAAGGGCAAAATTAAAAATGATTTTGACTTATAAAGGTCATCCCCTATATAGTACTTTTGGTGGACCTAAAAGTTAATTTATTGAGAGATTAGGGATGCCTCAGTGTTCTACTGAGCGATATAGAAGGTCTTTTATTCCTGCTGCAGTGAGGTTTTTTAATGAAGCTGTGTAATTATTGTATGTATTTATTGTGCTGTAATGTTTAATTGCTTGTGCTGTTTGTGAGGCAAATGAGTTTCCCCTCAAGGGGATTAATAAAGATTTCTAACCTAATGATGTAATTATTTAGGTTTTGTTCCAAAACTTGTGTTGAATAATGAAATTCGTCGGATTTTTATAGAAAGTGTTTGCAATTGCTATATATCAAAATTAGTCATTCTAAAACAGGTACAGAATTAAAGCTTTTCCTTGAAGTGTAAATATGAAAAGGGTTCAAATAGACCATCTTCCTACCTTGACACTAGGCATGTATTTGGAGAAGCGCTCATACTCTTTGCTGATCTGGAACGCCAGTTCTCGAGTATGACACATCACCAACACTGATACCTGGGTGAGAACAATTACTGGTCAAGTCAACAACACGTAAAGCACACTTTATTTATGTCTTAGTTCTTTGTTTTCAGAGCCTTTTAAAGGAGAGCTGTTACCTGACCGGTCACTGGCTCCAGCTGCTGAAGGGTGGCCAACACAAAAACAGCCGTCTTCCCCATTCCAGACTTGGCCTGACATAATACGTCCATCCCCAAGATTGCCTGAGGAATGCATTCATGCTGAACTGAAAGAGGAAAAACACAAATATATTCATACTAAACTTAAACTGATATCAAAGGACCTTATATGAGCACATGTAGAATTGCTCACCCTCAGATGGATGCTCAAAGCCACAGTCTACTATAGCTCTCAGGAGTTCTGGTTTGAGAAGGAAATCCCTGAATCCTGAGGAGTGGATGGACACATATGACCCTTTGACCCCTTCTTTCCTGATGGATATGACACTGTCGCTGTGTCCAAGCCCTGTATCCCCAGCAACACCGCCATCAACTTCATCCTCCTCATAGTCTAACAGCTCATTATCAACGTCGTTCTCTGTCATCTTGCAGAGAGATAGGAATAAAACGGTAAATGCAAAAATATGATGAAATATGCTGGAGTAACTGCCTCTTCCTGTCAATCATTGTTATATATACTACCGGTATTATCTGCTGCTATTTTGTGAGTGTGTGTAGGTGTGTATTATTTGACACAATTGACATTTTATGTGTGTCTGTGTTTATAAATTGTGAATGACATTATCAAATCTAAATCAAATTAAATATTCTATTTGATATTTATAATTAGATTTGATGACATATTTATAATCATAACATGATCATAAATTACATTAGAATTAGAAATGTATGTCTGTATTATTTTATTCGATTTGATAACATATACAGACTCAGCTTATACAGCTTAAATAACTCTTAATTAAGACAGCTATTAAACAATAAATTCAAATTCTCCGATATTACATTTGCTAGCAATTGCAATTTATTCAAAGCTGTTGTTTTATGTTAATTAATATGCATGTAATTATGGGGACAGGTAGCTTTAAACTAAGAAACTATCGCCTGGTTTTACAGACAGGGTTTAGATTTAACCAGGATAAGACTTTAGATCAATTAGGACATTTAAGTAGCTTTTATAAACCTGCCTTAGAAAAACACATTACTGGTATGCATCTTGAGACAAAACAATACACTGACATATATTTAGATATTTTAAGATATGTCATTGCAAGTTTTTTTCAGTTAAACAGCTCAATAATGCATTTTAGTCTGGGAATTGTCTGTGAAACCGAAGGAAAATTAAATATATTAGCGGTAGCTTATCCGTTTAGCCCAAGATATCCAACGCGCCAAATCATACACTAGTATGACACAACATTCCTGTGTGTTTTCTAACAGAATATAAAAGGCTATTATCACTTCCCGTGTTGATTGTTATTTTTATTTTTTATGAAATAATCGCAGTTACCTCGAAATGCTGTACGAAGCAGTTGGATTTTCACTACACCTGCTGCTGGATACGTTGACAACGTCATCAACAAGCGACGAATAGAGTGTATTAATGAAGGACCCAACATGTGAAATTGCATGAACTCAACTGCCTTGAGAAGAGACATTTCAGTTTTTAACGAAGAAATCGTGTTATTGTTATTAAAACTAGCGTAACACTTTCCCCGCTGGCAAGTTTAAGACAATTGTATTCGAACTTTGATAAGTAAGTTCTATTTATGTGGATACACGTGTGGCACATTTGTTACTTAACGTTATGTGTTAGTTACAGAAGTCCTAACTGTTTTGAACGCTGTGGATGTGGTGTGTAAAATAAATCTCTGTAATTTTTTTTCCAGCAATGTCGTGTTTTAAAGGTGACCTCGACTTTTGCCCTGAATGTGGAAACATTCTCCCAGTGCCTGGCAGGGAAAATACTATTAAATGCCCTCGATGCTCTTTTGAAATATCTGTTCAAGGTAAGAGAGATCTTTTTAATGTCATAAAATGTAATTTATGGCAGGGGTTTTCAAACTGTTATTCGGTGACCCCTAGGGGCCCGCGAGGGGAAAGTTTAGAGAAAAACTATAACTAATATTTAACTAAATACATTTTATTAAAATAAAAATAGATTAAATCAATAAATTGATTTGTATGAAAACATGATACATAAATGCATGATCTTACAACACTAAAAGTAAAAAGAAAAAAAAACTGATTTATGAAATAAATAAATGATTTAGCTGTATGGTTCTCTCTCAGAATTCACAGGTCAAGTTATTAAGTCGTCGGTGGTGTTTAATCCTTTGGATCAGAGCTCTATTGCTATTGACAGCGTGGAAGATGCTGAATTAAAGGGTCCAGTGGTAAGTTATTTAAAAATACAGTAATTCATTCTTTAAAACTATTAGTTCTATTTGTAATGTCACCCAATGTACATTCTCACCTATTTCTCATTTTCTGCAAACGTTTCATTAGATTGACAGGAGATGTTCTCGCTGTAATAAAGAGGGAATGGTGTATCATACAAGACAGATGAGATCTGCAGATGAAGGGCAGACAGTCTTCTTCACATGTATACACTGCAGGTAATTACACACCCTTAAAGGGATAGTTCATCCAAAAATTAAAGTTATGTCATCACTTACTCGCCCACAAGTTGTTCTAAACCTGTATGAGTTTCATTCTTCTGTTGAACACAAACTAAGATATTTTGAAGAATGTCAGTAACCAGACAGTTGCACCCATTGACTTCCATAGTATGAAGAAAAATACTATGGAAGTCAATGGCTACCGCCAACTGTCTGGTAACCAACATTCTTCGAAATATCTTCTTTTGTGTTCAACAGAAAAATGAAACTCATACAGGTTTGGAACAACATGAGGGTGAGTAAATGATGACAGAATTTTTATTTTTGGGTGATCTATACCTTTCTACCCCAGACATTGTTTTAAGTGATTATAATTGCCATCTGTTCAATCTGTCAGTGTACTGACAAGAAACATATATTCATTTGATTTCTCTGTTACAGGTACCAAGAAAAGGAGGATTCATGAGAAAATAACCTTTGCTGCTGTTGTTGTCTTTTACAGTTATTGGTTGCCAGAATTTAAATAGTATTAAGTATTAAAAATGTTTTTATTTGTCCACAATGTTAATTAATAAAAAAATAATAAAAATAAATAAAAAGAATGTGTGAAAGTCCTTTTTTGCATGAATTTATATTATACAGTTTACGTGTATAATTTTTTTTTTTTTTTAAAAGAGTCATGCACAAAAACACCGAATATAAATCCATATTTTTATATAAAAGTTTACACAAAACTAACGTTACAGTTTATCGAAAAGTCATGGCACGTGAACCAATCAGACTGCCCGTTTCGGCAATCACGTGATCATTCAACATGGCTTCATGCAAGTATCCACACTGAACGCTTGTGAAGAAATGAAATGATTCACATCATTTAATGCACTATATTGTGCTCCCTGACACATGTGAAACATGGTAAGCCTACTGACTATATATTAAATATATGTTTAAAGCGAAAGGTATATATTACATTTTTTTTATTATTTGGAACGTTTCCTATATTCATTAACGATAGGACAAAAGCCTCAAGGATTCAGTATGTTGTCTTCACGCTATTCGTTGATGTTGACTTCTGTTTTTAAATGCATTTAAGTTGTATCCATTGAACGCCTCAGTCACATGTTCCTATGTGCAAAAAAAATGTCTGAACAATTTGACACTGAACATATGTCTTATAATATATATTAACAGTATGACGCTGTATTTAACACACATAATTATTTTTTATTACATAAGTTTTAATGCTAGTCATCTTTTGCATCTTTTTGCAAGTCATCTCCTTATTCATCTGTCTGCCTGTTTACAGATGAAATTTCGCGTCCAGCTGCAATGCAAGAACTTGCATGAGTATTTAAAGGAATTGAGCCCTGAGGTCCTCGATAGGCTCTACAATCACCCTGCAACATGCCTAGCTGTATACAGGTCCATCTTGCTTTAGTGTTTAAATATACATGCGTATTGACACGTATGAATGTTATTTGGTTAGATAATAAAATATCAATGAATTGACAATGCAAGTGCCATTTAAACTTTTTTTACTTTTCAAGCCACAACATTTCTTACAAAGAAGTCTGTGACCGTTTTGAATTATAACACAACAGTTCTAACATCTGGTATTATTTTCAGGTGCTACTTTGTTTTTTATCTAATCTAATAACATTCACAAAATTCGTATGTAGCATAATTGGTCAAATACTTTTCTGATGCCATTATATAATACAAGGCTGTAACTTTTTTTTTAGCATGGGTGGGGCTATTGAGTTATTGGTCTTAAAATAATTAAAGGATTAAAAGGGATTTAAGGGAATAACAAATATGAATGGCAGAAGTTCCAGGTTTATTGTAGTTATGATTATGAAGTAATCAATTTAAACTATTTACAAATTAAATAAAAATGTGAAACGTTTCTTGTTTCATCATATTCAGTTATGAATTACATGAATCATTTAAATAACATATTGTGTATTTTCTGCTCAAAACTGAACTTTCATTAAAAAAAAGTTCAGTAGGTTGCATCTGTGGATATTACTGTCGGTCACGAGAAATTTGGCCATTTCTAATTATTGGGGGGGACTTATCCCCTTCAATGCCTGTGGTGGTTATGGTCCATATAATACTAAATCTCAGTGAGTTATGCTGATTGGCTCATTCTCATTTATTTGCATACAGGGAACTTCCAGCTTTGGGAAAGAATTACGTGATGCGAATGCTGTTTTTAGACCACCCACTTCCACAGGCTGCAGTTGCACTGTGGGTTAAAAAAGACAGTCAAAAGTAAGTACAATAGTTAGTTCTATCATTCTAATACAAATCAGTATATTACATTTCTAAAGGATCATGTGACACTTCAGACTAAAGTAATGGCTGCAAAAAATTGTTCATCAGCATTGCCATCACAGGAATACATTACATTTTAAAATATATTAAAATAGAAATAAATTATTTCATATTATAATAATATTTTACAATTTTACTGATTTTACTGTATTTTTCATCAGATAAATGCAAGTTTGGTGAGCCTAAGAGACTTCTTTCAAGTACATTAAAGAAGCCATATTTTGCCCTTTCACAGAGTGTTGATTTTGTTTTTGGAGAATAGAATAGATTTTCATGCTTGAATGTTATATTTTACATTGTTTCAGTCTGTCAGGAGTGCTCTGTTTAGTTTCTGTCTCTATGAAACCCCCCTTCTGAAAAGCTCAATGTTCTCTAATTGGTCGGCTGGACTAGAATGTTGTGATTTGTCAACCGCTTCGAGCGTGTTTCAGTTGTCACGCCCCTTACTATAACCACGAGTTTCAACACTACTAACGCAACTCAACCAGGCCTCTGCCCTTTTTTTTGCATATGCCTTCGGTGGGAATTATTTAAATGAGGGATATTGTAACATGCACGCTCTTGGAAGAAAACTCAAGAATACAATCGAGGCGTTTCAGGGAGTTCAGAAACCGTGATTGCTGATATAGAGAATAACTCCCTTTGGAGTGACTTTGTGCTTTGTAACTTTGCAGACCTTTTTTTCATGCTCAAACAGCAACATTACACACTAAAGAAAGTTGAAAATATAAAAATGCTTAATAGGTTTTTTTTCTATTCATTTTTTTTACTGACCACAAATTTTGAACGGCAGTGTCATAAATTTCTTTCTTATATGTTGGCGTTTTTGCTTTTCCAAGAGACCACGATCAGTGTGTGTCTGTGTTAACCGGGCTACGGCTCTGGCACGGTCAGCAGCTTCAGGGTGGACTCCAAGGCTTTGTGCTCAACCCTGTGTTTAAAGACAACCTGAGAATTGCACTGCTAGGCGGGTGAGGAACACAGTTTTAATTGAGAACCAGCATAGTGTTGCAGCAGCAGGTTTACTGGATTCACGTTCTCTTTTATCCTTTTGCCAGTGGTAAATCGTGGGCAGATGAGGGCGGCAACCTGGGTCCTGATCGCCATGCGAGGGATGTAGAGAGTCTCGACCGGTACGCCATGGAGCGTTGGGAGGTCATCCTTCACTTCATGGTGGGCTCTCCTAGCGCAGCCGTCAGCCAGGATCTGGCCCAGCTCCTCATTCAGGCTGGGCTCATGAGGAGGTAGAGCACACCATCACTCCACTGATGCACCAACCAAAGTAGGTCAAATATGATGGGTAGACCGAAAAATAATCTTGATCTGTTTTTTCCCCTCTCAGCGAGGTTGGTGATGCTCCTTGTATCACATCAGCAGGGTTTCAGTTCCTGCTGCTGGACACGGCATCTCAGCTGTGGTACTTTACCCTGCAGTACCTCAAAACAGCACAGGTCAGTGCACAACATATAAAATCTGTACATTAAATATCCCCTACATTATGATACATTTGTATCATACACCGATTAGTCCAACTGCAGATTCACATGTACCCAGTTGAAATTATAAAGGACATTTATGCGCTTGCCAAAAGTGCAATAACAGCATGAAGCTTCCAAGTCCTGTCAGAGAAAGATAAACAACTTAGCATGGCACAACAAGTGTGTGTTTGCCTTTTTAACATATTGAAAAACATGGCTTTCTTCTCGTTTTGCTAACTTTACTTAACAAAAGTTGAGAATTTTAAGCAGCATCCCAAAATTGTGTCTATCATATGAAAACATATGGCCTCATGCCAATTCCTTCAATAACTAGACATCTGGATAAGAGTACTTTGCATAGATTGCTCGGTTAGAGAGTTCCTGCACAGCAATCCGTATACACACAACAAGGTATTTATGAATCTGATTATGAAAGTAGTTGGATAAAAATGTTTGCATGGCAATTGCTCATCTGTTTGGTGAATTATTCAAGACTTGCACCTCAGTCTGATCATTTGTTTCCCCCAAGGTGTTTACATGATGGCTTTTCATTCCAGTTGAGCTATCATTCTGATTGTTCATAGTTATTAGGCTGCATGTAAATGTGGTTGGCATGATGGAAAATATGGCTCCACCTCCTTATTAACAGTCTAATCTCTCTCCTTCATAGTCGAGAGGAATGGACCTGGTAGAGATTCTTTCCTTTTTGTTCCAACTGAGTTTTTCCACTCTTGGTAGGGTGAGTACTGCTTTTACTATATCAAGAAAAAAAACATGAGTCATAGATAAAAGCCATTACTTATCATAATTAAAGAAGCCATTTTCCCATAGTCCCATAAAATAGGGTTGGTCTCGTGGTTATTAATAGGTTTTGCTTTGTAGTTTGATTGTTGTTTTTCTTGCAGGACTATTCTGTGGAGGGGATGAGTGAGTCTCTGCTCACATTTTTGCAGCATCTACGAGAGTTTGGTCTGGTTTTTCAAAGAAAGGTTTGTGATCAAGGAAAAATACTGAATAGCTCTGAATAACGCATGTACCCTCTAGTCGAAATATGTACAGGATTTGGAATAGGATTTCTAGGAACTAGAACCAGTCTAGGAACCAATCTCAAAGGATCCTTGCCAAAAAATCATTTTAAATGTATTTATTTATTTATTGGGGGTCTGCGTTTTTTTTTTTTTTTTTTTTATAAGACTTTTATGCTCACTATGACTGCATTTATTTGATTAAAAATACATTAAAAACAGTAATATTGTGAAAAAATATTACAATTGAAAGTAAATATTTTCTGTTTTAAGATATTTTAATATGTAATGTATTCATGTGATGGCAAAGCTGAATATTCCGCAGCTTTTACTACAGTTTTCAGTGTCACATGAGCCTTCAGAAAAATATGCTGATTTGGTGCTCAAGGAACATTCCTTATTATCATCAATGTTGGAAAAAAGTTGTACAGCATAATATACACTCACCTAAAGGATTATTAGGAACACCTGTTCAATTTCTCATTAATGCAATTATCTAATCAACCAATCACATGGCAGTTGCTTCAATGCATTTAGGGGTGTGGTCCTGGTCAAGACAATCTCCTGAACTCCAAACTGAATGTCAGAATGGGAAAAGAAAGGTGATTTAAGCAATTTTGAGCGTGGCATGGTTGTTGGTGCCAGACGGTCTGGTCTGAGTATTTCACAATCTGCTCAGTTACTGGGATTTTTCACGCACAACCATTTCTAGGGTTTACAAAGAATGGTGTGAAAAGGGAAAAACATCCAGTATGCGGCAGTCCTGTGGGCGAAAATGCCTTGTTGATGCTAGAGGTCAGAGGAGAATGGGCTTACTGATTCAAGCTGATAGAAGAGCAACTTTGACTGAAATAACCACTCGTTACAACCGAGGTATGCAGCAAAGCATTTGTGAAGCCACAACACGCACAACCTTGAGGCGGATTGGCTACAACAGCAGAAGACCCCACCGGGTACCACTCATCTCCACTACAAATAGGAAAAAGAGGCTACACTTTGCAAGAGCTCACCAAAATTGGACAGTTGAAGACTGGAAAAATGTTGCCTGGTCTGATGAGTCTCGATTTCTATTGAGACATTCAGATGGTAGAGTCCGAATTTGGTGTAAACAGAATGAGAACATGGACCCATCATGCCTTGTTACCACTGTGCAGGCTGGTGGTGGTAGTGTAATGGTGTGGGGGATGTTTTCTTGGCACACTTTAGGCCCCTTAGTGCCAATTGGGCATCGTTTAAATGGCACGGCCTACCTGAGCATTGTTTCTGACCATGTCCATCCCTTTATGGCCACCATGTACCCATCTTCTGATGGCTACTTCCAGCAGGATAATGTACCATGCCACAAAGCTCAAATCATTTCAAATTAGTTTCTTGAACATGACAATGAGTTCACTGTACTAAAATGGCCCCCACAGTCACCAGATCTCAACCCAATAGAGCATCTTTGGGATGTGGTGGAACGGGAGCTTCGTGCCCTGGATGTGCATCCCACAAATCTCCATCAACTGCAAGATGCTATCCTATCAATATGGGCCAACATTTCTAAAGAATGCTTTCAGCACCTTGTTGAATCAATGCCACGTAGAATTAAGGCAGTTCTGAAGGCGAAAGGGGGTCAAACACAGTATTAGTATGGTGTTCCTAATAATCCTTTAGGTGAGTGTATAATATGATCATTTTTAATTTCTTTGATCAATACAAATAAAAAAATTAACAGCATTTAATTGAAATTGAAATCTTTTGTAACATTATAAATGGCTTTTCTGACACTTTTGATCAATTTAATGCATCCTTGCTGAGTAAAAGTATTAATTTCTGACCCTAAACTTTTTAACTGTTGTGTGATTATACTGTATATATACACACATTCTTTTATTAGGGACATGATCAATGTCCTGTAATAATATGGGGATCATTTAGATACAGATCTAAATGTTTTCTTTATTAAGTTCTTTGAATGCTTTGTATTGAAAAGTTTAGTTTAAATATGTCTAAAACAAGCAATTGCACCAGTTTGCATCATTCCCTGCATCTATTCACAGAGGAAGTCAAGGAGGTACTACCCTACGAGGTTGGCCATAACTCTCTCTGCAGGAGTCACAGCAAGCCCTGCCTCTGGGTCTGCCTGTTCTGCACTAGGAGCCATACCAGGAACAGGGGACACAGGCTTCATCATTGTAGAAACAAATTATCGAGTATATGCCTACACAAGTATGTCAGACTCCTATTACACACACTGACATGTCTGAAAGGCTTTGCGCTTTACAAAATCAGTCAAAACGCTTCTTCTATTTCTGTCTGACAGACTCTGAACTCCAGATTGCATTGGTAGCTCTATTTAGTGAGATGCTGTATCGGTTTCCTAACCTGGTTGTTGCTCAGGTAACCAGAGAATCAGTGCAGCAGGCCATCAGTAATGGCATAACAGCACAGCAGGTGAGAGATGCATACAGCCGCTGTAACTCAGAAACTATTTCCCTGCAGACTGGCTTTTCCTTTTACTGAAAGTGTGAAGCTGTTTTGACATTTATTTAATGATTTTTCAGATCATTCACTTCTTAAGGACCCGAGCACACCCAGTAATGCTTAAACAGGTAATTGCTAACAGGTTTAAATTTTATCATTGTGCTAATAAGAAGAGTTTAAATAAAATTTAGCTTTAACTTTACATACTTGGTATAGTTTAGGGCAGGGCGATATAGATACAATATATAATAAACATACTTATTAAAATTATTTTTAATTAATTATTAGAGGGATAGTTCGCCCAAAAATATATATTCTGTTATCATTTACTCACCCTCACGTCATTCCAAACCTGTATGAGTTTCTCTCATCTTTGAAACGCACATGAAGATATTTTTAATGAAACCTGAGAGGTTTCTGTTCATCCATTGAAAGTCCAGGTAACCAAAATGTAAAAGGTTATAAAGGTGAAGGAAAACTAATTCATATGAATTGAGTGATTTAATCCAAGCCTTGTAAAGAGATACGATTGCTTAATAAGAACAGATTTAATTTACAGTGAATTAATCTACAATCTAAACATTGATTATTGATTATATATAAATATATAAATTGGTATATACTATAGAACAAAGAAGCTTGTACGTGTGTCACATGCTAGAACAAACCTCACTGGTTTATTACATTGTGCATTACCATATTTGATGCTACATATATATATATATATATATATATATACTAAATAGTATACTAATAGTATACTAAAAAAGTATACTCTTCACTTTGTGATGAGTCAGAAATTAATAGGGGATGGTGTCAAAACAACCTAAATTAATACATATGCCAACAAAATTAAAGATATGATTGCAAAATAATACTTGTATGAGATCTTGTTTTTATAGTTAAGCAATATCACAAGAGCGAGAGAGCTGTTTTCACAAATATGTACACGATTGCAAATGTGATATTGATTTTATACAAACGTTCAATGAACAAAATTGTATTTTTAAAACATTAACATTATTTATTCAGTTGTAACTGTACCAATTCAGATGCAACTTCTGTGCCACCACTGTAGTGCAAAGATTTTTTATTTTTTTGGATTGGTAACAGCTCTATATAGTGTCTCATAATTCTAATTTTAATTTGATTAATTATAACACTTCTCTTAGGCCCCATCCACACTACTGCGTTTTAGTTTAGAAACGGATAATTAAAACGAATACGATCTCCGTCCACACCAGCGTTTTAGCTGCGTATTAGAATTGATCTCCGTCCACATTAAAACGACTGAAAACGCGGATCACGTGACCATTCACCAACACTGGGCATGCGCGTGCCGGTGTAAACACAACTTCATTGATAAAAATATCTCACCACGCTCTGGGTTAACCCCAAACCGACGCTCCATATACGGTCAACGCCGCCGCTGCACACGGGAATTGTCACAGATCGCTTGAATAATAGCTTGACTCCGGCGCATGTAGGCGGTTATAGCGTTGTAAAATGCAGAATTTACTTGTAGGCTACAACAGCTGCTAGCAAAGATATACGCCATGACTGATGACACCCAATCAGAGAGCTGAGCGTGAGCCTCTACTACGTCATCGTTTCTAAAGTCCTCCGTTTAGACCAGTCTACACTAAAACGACCTCCGGAGATTCAAAACGAAAAACGAATCGGCAGCGTTTCTAAACTTGGGAGGTGCAAACGTAGCAAAAGATCTACGTTTTTAAACGAAAAGGCAGTAGTGTGGACGGGGCCTAAGGCAGTAGATGCGGATCTTTTAAAGGAATTTAAAGAATGCTGGTCTGGTCTTGACTCAGTTTCGCCCTGCCCTGGTCTTGTTCATGTCTTGATCTCAACCCCTCAAAGTCTTGGCCTTGTCTTGGTCTCAACACACACTAGTCTTGACCTTGACATGGTCTCGGTTTAGGTGGTCTTGACCACAATGCTTTTTATAACCTATTTGGATCTTTTAAATTTTGGTTACCTTTCAATGGGGGAACCATTGGTTTCAATCAAAGAAACCTTTAAAAATATCTTAATTTGTGTTTCAAAGATTAACCAAAGTCTTATGGCTTTGGAACGACATGAGGGTAAGTAATTAATGACAGAATTTTCATTTTGAGGTACTGTTCCTTTAATTGATAATAATGAAGAATTATTACAATTATTTTTAATCATTTAAAATTAAATGCTTACGGATTTCTTAACATAGTTTTTTTTGTTAATCATCCTTTTAATTATTTAATCCCATGAATAAAAAATGCATTAATCCCATTAGTTCCCCCTTGTAGTTTTAGATGTCCCTTAGTGTGTCTCCCTTGTGCAATATGACAATTCTTATCATAAAAATTCTATACTGCTATGCAAATTTTCACTGCTCAATGCATGAACATGTTTCCGTGTGTCATTCTGTCTTCAGACCCCCATTCTTCCCCCAACCATCACAGATCAGATCAGACTGTGGGAGCTTGAGAAAGATCGCTTACAGTTTACTGAGGGTGAGTGTGCTTTTGTGCATATGAGACCAGTTCTTTGTAGTTCCAAAGTGAATTTACATTTCCCATTAATAATCTATGTTTTTACTTTGAATAAAACCATTAGATATTATGCAATTATTGTATTACATTAGTAATTGTAATGATTTAATTACAAATGAAATGATTTAAACAATAGAGTGTTGCAGTTTCATTTAAATGGAACCTCTGGGAATGGATGTCTCCATTTCAATAATATATATATATATATATATATATATATATATATATATATTTTTTTTACATTATCTTGATATTATTACAGCATGGAGAATTTGTTTCCACTCCGTGGGTGACCTGCAGGGTTCATTCTTTCAAGTGTAAATGTCAGACTGTATAAGAAGTGTGTTTGTGAAATGTAATGCAAATAAAAAATTAGCATTGGAATAAGGTTTGGGGTAGGGGGTCATAACCGCCATCTGAAAATAATATACAGACGTCTCAGTTATGCATTTTGTGTCCTTCAACTTTACACAATGTTTTTCTTCCAGGAGTGTTATACAACCAGTTTTTATCCCAGGCTGATTTTGAAGTGTTGCGGGACAGGGCTCAGGTAAAAAATAGCACTTTTTTACTTGGTGTACTTGATAAGCATTAGCTGTCTCTCCTGCAGTAACGAACAGAGTATTGACAGTAAAGCCTCTGTCCTGCAGGGTTTAGGTGTGCTGGTTTGGCAGAACCCCGCTCACAGGGTCATGGTGGTGACGCCACATGGACACAGCGAGGTTAAGAGATTCTGGAAGAGACAAAAGAGCCATACATAAAGGAAATAAGGAAAAATGGACCTTTAAGACCACAAGATACATCATTCACTTGAGAATGATACTGAGAATTACTACTAATGGATGGTCAAGAGGAACCAGCTTTAATGAGGACTATTTTTTTTTTAAGGTCATCTGTTTAAAAAAAAAAACTGTTTCTATACATAGTTCAAAGCCTTTTGCTGTTTGTGAGACAGTATGTGCATTATTATTCCCTTATTGACTTGTGCTTTTGTAGTGTCTGTCTTTGCTACATGTTTGTGTCTGAGGTAAACTACGGACTAAAATAAATGCTGTTTACACTGAATGCTAATAATGTCTATCGTTTGATAACATGGAAATTTAGTCCATGAAATTTACATTTCAGTCAAAATAATTAGGGGTAAAATTACTGAATTCTGTTTAGCCTTTAGGATGATGCAGGGGGAATAAAGTTTAGTCTTAATGGGTGAATCTCACGAAAATATGTTCACCAGGTCACATTTTTTGAAGATAACATTTTTAGATGGAATGTAACGTTACTTTCTTTTGATGTTTTCAAGTTATATTTTATATTGATATATTTCAATTAGTTTTACTTATTTTTGTAGTACGAAAATTTCTATTAGTCACCGCTATCATCAAATAAATAAATCCATGAAATAGCAGAAAATTTCAGTTAGGAATATTTAAAATTAATTTACAGTAGTTAACTTAGTTACAATGGATTAATAAGGATGTATGTTTTTTGGGGGGAAATGGTTTCCATGGGAAATGTTTATAATGATCATCCTGGACAAAAACAAAAAGGTTTAGTTGTCTGGCTGGAGCTCTCGCTGTATTTATGAGTCCCTATTTTTTACAGTCCATGGTCCTGAGCAGTGCTGTGACTGCTGTCTGAGCTGATGCTGTGATTTCTGCAGTTAGCCGTAAAGCTAGCTGTTCAGCCCGGGTCATTCTGCGCTGTCAGCTCCACTGCATGACGCTACCGCTGCAAACAACACGCCTGCGCCGTTAAATGACGCTCATTCACCGAATATGTAGCGCTTTATCTTCAAATCCTCGGGTAAATATGTATTTATAGGCATGGCAAACATTTAAGCGCTTATATATTCTGGTTTAGAAGAGCAAAACGGGTCATTCTCAAGGCCACGGATGGAACCGGGGCAGCTGCGTGAGAACCCCCCCGGATCCGGGGAGCCTGAGTCAGGGGAGTGGAGAGAGGAGAGCGCCGGGGTGGAGGCTGAGAAGAGGGACGACACCCTGAAAAACAGAAGCGGGGACGGAGGAAACGAGGAAGTTACGAGCAAAACCGAGAACACTGAGGTGGTGGAGAAAGATAAGAATGAGTTTGATGAAGATGAGGGGCAGTATGAGGAAGAGCTGGACCCCAGGATTCAGGTATTAAAATTTGGACCCATAATAAACTTGATATTGTGAGTGCATTGAACTATGACACAATATTCACAATTTGCTTCAATTAATGGTTTATAATGGCAAAATTATTTTAAATGATTTGTTTGTTGGCAATTATGCTGGCTTTTTATAAATTCTTATACTTTTCTCTGTTATTTAATGAATTAATAGTTAATAATTAATAATTGAATGTCAGTTATCTCCCCTCCCTGTGTTCCATTTGTCAGGAGGAGCTGGAACACTTGAATCAGGCCAGTGATGAGATCAACAGACTCGAACTACAGCTGGACGTGAGTAATATGTGTGACACTACTACTGTGTCTCAAAATCTGGTCACAGTGATTTTGCCAAGTAAGACATGGTCAACATATTTTGTTGATCCTGGATCAACATTCCTGTCCCAAAATGTAGTCCTTACCCAATCCCTACCCCTAAACCTAACCCTACCCATAACTTTTCCCTAAAATCAGAGGGTAATGAAAGGTGAATAGCACTGATGTTTAAGTACTTCACCCTGGTTCTAAGCCTAAACTTGACATACCGGTAAACTGTAAACTTGTCCCTCAAATCTGATTGGTTGATTGGAAAGTTGATCCAGGATCAACAAAGATGTTGATCCAGGAACATGTGGTACTTGGTGAAATCACATTCACCCTCAAAATCTATAGAGGTGCCTGTAACACTTTATTTGTATGTGTCCTTGTTACACATATTACATGTATTTACTATAGTAATAACTATAAATTAGGCATAATTACATGCAACTAACACTAAACCAAAACCTAATCCTACCCTAACCCTATAGTTAGTAGTTAATATTGCTCAGTACTTAAATGTATAATTACACTGTAACAGGGACACATTAAAATAAAGTGTAACTGAGGTGCCTGCTTTGACAATAGGTGTGTCTTAATTTGCGCATTTACTAACTATTCTATGCCATTTTTAAGTATAAATAGCGTGAGTAGTGTTTTCACAAAAAATTCCAATACCTTCAAATACCTGGATAATACACCAAAAAAAAAACATACTATGGAAGTCAATAGGGCCTATCAACTGTTTGGTTACAGACAATCTTCAAAATATCTTCTTTTGTGTTCTTAAATGATTACAGAATTTTCATTGTGGGTGAACAACCTTTAATTAACCGAAAAACGGAAGTGTGCAATGTTGGACACTTCATGCACTCAACTGTCGCAGAGTGGAGGAGGGGGAAGGGCTATCAGACTCTAATGTCAAAATAACCTTTTAAAGCTCCTGTCCGTAACTTTTTTGGGTTAAAAATTATCCAAAATAATTTTTTGAGCAAGTACATAACCAGCCAGTGTTCAAAACTATCTGCTTGCCTCAGCTCGATTCAAAACGGTAAGCTTGTAATAATATTTGTAAATCCAGTGGTACTGGTGGATTTCCGCGGGAGATTCGAGCTTGTCTTTGCGTCATTACATCACATCTGTAGTGTACACATAAAGAAGGAGTCTCGGCTAATATAAGTTATATTGCGAGTGAGGATGTTGGAGGTGGAGATTTATATCCTTTTCTCACAGCACTTGATATAATTAAACTTATCAATTTGATGGCGGATCCAGAAAGGTTCAAACGACAATCACCAGTGACAACTAGAGATTCACCCGTTGTAAAATGCAAAAGACTTCGTTTGGACTTCGGAGTGGCTACGAAAACGAAAACAAGGATACATATCGGAAGGACATCACGCAATGCTGACGTTGTTAACATTAACAATTTGAGAACAAAGTATAATTTGCACGGTTTGACGTGATATGATAATCGATCGTTAGATTTAATCAGCGCGATTTACTGCAATGCTTTTTTTCAGTTAGTTGGTCAGAAGAACAAAAGTGGATGTTTTACTTACTTGTTCAGATGACATTTTAGGGTGAAAACTCTTATGTTGGTCATACTTCCAAAAAGTAGAGTCTGTGATTCTGAATGACAGTATCCACACCGCGCGGTGACTGACAGCTGCACACTCTCCTCAAAACATCGGATTCATCCGCGCTGTGCTGTGTCGAGGTACAACTCACGTAAAGTTGATAATTCCCATAGACAGTAAAAGAAATGGACACAGCGACCCCATAGACTTCAACGGAGAAAAGTGAAGTCAATTAGAAGCACTCACTTCCTGATGGCTGAGCATACTGCGCAGGCTCAAACTGAGCTTGACGATGTAGATGTGACGTGAGCAACCTGACTGACAGTTGTACGTCTTCTAGTAGCTGTGCCAAGAGGAATCTGAATCATTCCCTTCCGAATCTTGCAGAGCCGGAGATCGTGAGTATTAGCTGTCCATGAGCTAGCAGCAGGAGCAACTTTATGACTCTCTATGGGCTTCTCCCTTGACTTTATGCCTCCATGTCCCCCCGATTGCCAGTGAGCTTCTCCTTCTGTCTATACGGTAATTTCTCTACTGTGCGACGGAGAGTCGCGTCACGTGTTATGATGCAATCGTTAGCCTATTTTTACAAAGACTGCTTCTACGGGGCCATAACGTGAGATACAAGGTAATGGAGCCTTTTATACATTGTCGTGTTTCTTTAGAAATAAACAATGGACAAATAGAGTCTTTAAACACCTCAGATGTAAAGTTATTCGCTGTCAAAGTGACACCAAAATGAATGGGAGTCAATGGAATGCTAACAGCAGGTGAAGGCTTGCTAGCCAATGGCGGCCCCCGGGGTAGCTTCAGTTTCCGGCTGATGGATTACCCCCTTGATAATTCGGCAAATGACTGCAATTGCAGATTTCGAACAGAGACGGCGACAAAGAGGAAAAACTGAGGACTGCAGCTTTAACGTTTATACACTAGATCAGGGGTTGGCAACCCAAAATGTTGAAAGAGCCATATTGGACCCAAAAAAAAAAAAAAACTCTGTCTGGAGCCGCAAAAAAATTAAAAGCTTTATATAAGCCTTATAATGAAGGCAACACATGCTGTAAGTGTTATATTAGCTTTATTAGTATCAAAATGATTTGTAGGCTACAAATTAGCTCAGATCGGGCCCAAAAAATCAAGCCCGGCCCGGCCAGACACATTAAACGTAATTATGAGCCCGAGCCCGATTTTAAAGCGACCATTATTTAATGCGTGGGTCGTTATAACTGACGTTCTCAACTTTCTTTCTCCCGCCCGCAACATTTATGTTTTGTCCCGCTCCCGCCCGCAAATAGACTTTTTTCTGTAGCCTACCTCCAAATACTTTCAAGTTAGCCTACGTGTCGCCACCATACATCCTCCTGATAAATTATTTGTTATTAAAGCATTAAAACACAAACCACTGTTAATTTAACATAAAAGCAAGCAGTTTACTGCATGCATGATTTGGCAAGACTGAATGGGCGCAAAGTGCGCTCTCTTAATAATTCCTAAAAAACTGACAGTTCATCGCGATCTCACACATCTTTGTTATTATCAATGAAGCTGACTGCACAATGAATCTTTCATAATATCCACACTTTGTTCGTTATAATTAAGAGGATTTGCCAGCATACAGAATTCAGCACTGAACAAAAAAGTCAGTTTTGAGCGGTGAGGGGAGTCTATCTTAAATGCTTCTGATTGGCCATTGCGTTCAAGAAATCAACACATATGTCTGTGATTGGCTATATCGCTCAACGCTGCAAACATGTTATGAATAGAAATTCTGGCCTGTAAATCGTTTCTATTTTGTTTTAGTAGAGTGAGTGCATTACCGCACGCGCTCGCGCTCGCGCTCGGCCATCAAATCTAGTCCCGCACCGCACTCTATTGCGTTGGGAGTGCAGCTATCTTTCTCTTTTTCCCCTTGGGATCCATGGCCCATGACACACCCGCCGGTTTGTTTGTTTGTTTGTCAGCCACCGGTCTGGCATCACGCCGATCTGACAGACACGTGTGTCACAGTCTATGACGTAAATTCTTCGTTGACAGAAATGTTGAAATTAAATATTTATTATACACATTTTTACAACGTTGAAAAACTTTAAGAATGTTTGTCATGTTTTTCCTCCTACAGAAATTATAATAGAACAAAAAATATTTTTTCCATTTTCAATTTTTTGAAAAAGCTCCAGGGAGCCACTAGGGCGGCGCTTAAGAGCCGCATGCGGCTCTAGAGCCGCGGGTTGCCGACCTATGCACTAGATGGTAGAGGGCGTGCGTAGCAATAGCGTATAGTGCGTCATTTGGGACACAACTAATCTTCTTTATTCAAAATGCACATTTGATGCCCTGAAATGAGAGAGCCTGAGAGAACTCTTAAATTACAAGTGGTATAATGTCTTGCAATCATGTCCTGATCACTTCATACTTGTTCTATACCTATATTTTGTGAAGCCAAAATTGAAAGTTTGTAGTCTTTTTTCAGGGAGTGATAAGGATGATATATATACTATAGACCTTATGTAGCCCCGCCCCTTTTCAGCGCTGCGCTCCTTGTCTTTTGTCTTCCGGTCTGTATTTTCACAGTGATCTTGCGGATTTATGAATGAACGGCTCGTTTTAAAATCTTCTTGGTCTACTGACATTTGTTATCTGCTCTAACATTACAATCCGCATGAGAACTTTCGTTAACTTTACAATAAGTAAATCCACTTCACCAGCTAATTACTCCTCGACAGCGATGCCATAGAGATATACACATAGACAGTAAAAGAAATGGACACAGCGACCCCGTTGATTTCAACAGAGAGAGTTGAAGCCCAACATGGGCACTCACTTCCTGATAGCCAAGCGTTCTGCCCAGGCTCAAACTGAGCTTGACGACGTAGTTGTCACGTGAGCAACCGTTCTGACCTTCTAGTAGCTGTGCCGGGACAAATCTGAATTGAAATCTGAAACAAATCTGTTGTTGAAATATTTTGTCCCGTTGCTTTTATGAACTCTCTATCTATGGGCTTCTCCCTTGACTTTATGCCTCCATGTCCACCCGATTGCCTCATAGACGGTAAACGATTGCCGACGAGCTTCTACTTCTGTCTATACGGTAATTTCTCTACTGTGCGACAGAGCGTCCCGTGGTTATGACACAATCGTTAGCCTATTTTTACAAGAATGGCTTCTACGGGGCCATAACGTAAGATACAAAGTAATGGAGCCTTTTATACATTGTCGTGTTTCTTTAGAAATAAATAATGGACAAATGGAGTTTTTGGACGCCTCAGATGTAAAGTTATTCGCTGTCAAAGTGACGCCAAAATGAATGGGAGTCAATGGGATGCTAACAGCAGGTGATAGCCAGCTTAAATGGCGGCCCCCGGAGGCAGCTTCAACTTCCGGCTGATGGATTACCCCTTTGGATATACAGAGCGACCGCAAAAACGGAAGTTCAAAGACAAGATTCTAAAGATGGCGGCGCCCTTGTTTCTCTAACGCAGCGATTCCCAAACTGTGGTCCGCGGACCATTAGTGGTCTGTGAGGGTACTGCAGGTGGTCCGTGAAAAGGCAAAATAAAATATAAAATAATATTTTTTTACCTTCATTTTACCAGGAAATTCCCATAAAAAAGTAAAAAGAATATGTAGGCCTATATTTATATAAAATGTAAATTAAATTGTCAAGTTTTTGTGTGATTACTAAAAATAGGCTAGTGGCGCTCGGCCGTGACGTTCAAGCTTAGTGTCGTCAGAACCACAACATGGATCGGTGGATAGCAATTAGCAACAGGTTAGGTGAGCATTTATTTAGTTGTTTGTTTTTAATATAGGCCTATATTAGACAGACGATACAAAGAGGAAGGAAAAGATGTGGAGGGTGACAAAGGAGGATATTACGTTCATATTGGGCTGGCAAATAGACTCCAATGGCTTTTCCTTTTGCCAACTTTCTTTTATTTTTAACCTGGAGTAACGTTAGGCTTACTGTGTATAGGGCAGAGGCAAATATGTTCTCATTATCACATCACATGCATAGCCTTTATAGGCACTTTAGGCCTATATGAAACGAAATGTTTATAAATGGAATGAATAAGGCCTGTTATTATTTTAATTTCCAGTTAATGTTAGTTTCTTGATCTCGTGTTTCTGAAATGTTTTGCGGATGTGCTGTTAAGTGGACAAACTCAAGCCTACTTTTTGAGGACTTACGTTAATAATCCCCTAAAATCGCCAAAGGTTTTGAAATGCTGACTATATCCAAGTGTTCTTATTACTGTATAGATTTTATACTCCATTGCTATGGAAATAAGCCTGTTGTTCAAATGAACCTGATTATGCCCTCGGGCGCTTGAGTAAATAAATAAATAAAATATGTGGCAGCCGTTGTGTGCAGTAAACTGTCTTTAACAAGCTTGTTGTACTGATGTGATGACCAGTTATAGTTTTAGTGCTAGTTAGCCTATTTAGAGGTGTGGATTAATTCAGGTAGGACTGTGTAGACATATTTTATTATGTGTATTATGAGGTGGTCCGCGAAAATTCTTGATTACAAATAGTGGTCCACACACACAAAAAGTTTGAAAACCCCTGCTCTAACGCATAAGGTCTATACATAATGTCAAAATGCAATAGTACAACAGTGCAATAATACAAATGAACCCTTAGTGTATATGACACAATATTTTACACAATATAATATAAGTAGGCCTATATATTATATACTCAAAATTAAAATTAAAAAAAGGACAAATCTGGTCAAAGTCCTAGTCTTGGCTTGTGTACCCATTGCTTCTTGTCTCTCTCCTTCACTGTGTAATCTAATAAAGGTGAAAGAAGAAAGAAAACTCAGCCTTTGAACAAAAAAAAGATATGGAAAGAGTTTTATCTCTTTTAAAATGCATTTTGGTATCCTATTCCTAACTAAGAATTTTGTTGCATTTATTATTTGCATTCGATATTGTTTTTTCTACTGTCTGTGTGAGCACTGTTTGGGTTGCAAATCATCCCCACCAGTAGAGAACCACTAAACTGCAGTATTATTATGTATTGTTTACATGTTTTACTCATCGTGCCAAATTATGCATTGTTTTTCCCACTCTTTCTCATTATCTCTGTCTAACGCTCGTTTAGGAAGCGAGATCCAGCTACAGGAGGATCCTTACAGACTCGGCACGCAAACTTAACGCTCAGGGCTCTCAGCTGGGAGCCTGCATTGAAAAAGCCAGACCTTACTACGAAGCCCGGAGACTTGCTAAAGAGGTAGGTGTGTGTGTGTGTAAGAGAGCAAGAGAACATAATATTGTGTGTTTGTGCTTCATATCCTATCAGATGAGTTCAAGATGTTTTTGTAGTTTGCTGATTCATTTCCATTCTCTCATTATTGCAAGAAATCCTCCCGCTTAACCAGAAGACATTTGTCAGTGCAGTGGTCATTATGGCAAAAAGAGTTGGTGTGTTAATGTGATTAACCCTGATAACACAAGATGTGATTTGCACATCACTTTTCATTAGCGTTTTTGCAGCCAATTTTGAATATGTAATTGAGCTGATGAAAATCGTTTAGCTGTGGCTAGAGAGTAATTGGAAACAATTGAACCAGCAGCACTGAATTGAAACTTTGACTTGGCCATCAGCCGTCTCATGAAAAACTGTAAATAAGTTTGAGTGTGGATGAGTAGACAAGCCTTATATAAATGTAGTGTTTGTTTTCCATATTGATAAAGGAACAATATTCGACTAGTTTATCTATCATTTCCTCTTCCTTTTCTTTCTTTTATCTTAAAGGAGAACTCCGGCGCAAAATGAACCTTTGGTCTAATAAAACATTGGTACCTAGTCAACCATTCTCTGAGATTTGTTTTCATGATAATCGAATGTAAAGAGTTTTATCTCTAAAAACTGTTTAGCGTATAACGCTAGTAATGGGGGCATCTATTAAGTAAAAATAAATCGCTAGTTTATACCACTAACAAGACTCAAAATAGCCCCACACTAACACAGTAACATAATGAGGGTCCCTACATGCAAAACGAAGCATTGAGAACTTTGTAAGTGTACAGACCGTTTAATAAGAAGATATTTTATGAATACAGTCCACTTCGTGTATACAGACAGGAGCCATCTTTGGAAAACAGTCTAGACTAGTCAAACCACGAACGCCATTCATACAGTTCAGAAGTTCACTGAACTTCATACAGTTCAGCTCACTTAGCACGTCGTTCGTGGTTTGACTAGTCTAGACTGTTTTCCAAAGATGGCTCCTGTCTGTATACACGAAGTGGACTGTATTCATAAAATATCTTCTTATTAAACGGTCTGTACACTTACAAAGTTCTCAATGCTTCGTTTTGCATGTAGGGACCCTCATTATGTTACTGTGTTAGTGTGGGGCTATTTTGAGTCTTGTTAGTGGTATAAACTAGCGATTTATTTTTACTTAATAGATGCCCCCATTACTAGCGTTATACGCTAAACAGTTTTTATAGATACAACTCTTTACATTCGATCATCATGAAAACAAATCTCAGAGAACGGTTGACTAGGTACCAATGTTTTATTAGACCAAAGGTTCATTTTGCGCCGGAGTTCTCCTTTAAATATATAACCTAAAAAACCTTTAAACTAAAATAAATATTTTGTGGAAAAGCAATTATTTTCAACCTTCCCCGGACCTTCCCCACTGTTATGATTGGCTATCGTCAGTGCTATTATTAAAATATTAAAAAAAAAAAAAATAGATTTATAAATAATTGTTAATAACTGTTAAAACATGCCATCACAGTCGGTGAAAAGGAGTTTTATATTCTTTCTTTTTTCTTTTCTTTTACTCAAAATATTTTAATAATATTTATATTGTGCATATTGTGCAAAATAATGGCTACATTCACACAGCAGCAGATTTCAGTTGTTGGTTCAATTTTAAATTTTAAGTAGGGTTAAATTTACATACACATTTCCGATGATGATATTCATCTCAACAATAAAAAAGGGTTTTGACTTCAGTTATTCATTCATACAGACATTATTCAATTCCCTCCAGTAACAGGACACTTCTGCTAATAAACGTGGTTGTCGATGTGTGAACGTAGCCAAAGTCAGATATCATCCTTGGCAAGGATGCCATATTTCCATCAAGTTATCCCAATGAAATATGGCCTGCCATTCTCAGTTCCTGACTATTATTGATTGGCTTGGATGTTCTAATTTGTGTACAGCAATTTTCACTGACAGCAAGCCAGGCTTTTTGAGCTAAACGGTTTTCAGATCCAGCCTTGTGTGCGGGATGATTGGATGTCAGCTTTTCCAACCTCAAATCCTATTGGCCATTTCACCCACTTTATTTAAAATGAATGGTTATGGTTTGTGAAGTGTTATACAGTTGACTTCCCTCTGGTGTTTTCTTTTATTATATAACAAATAATATTTCCGTAGAATTGTAGTATACTTCCATACTAATGCCACATCCTTTAGCTAGTGTTTTATTACATAAATATAACCTGATATAAAGTTTGGAAAGATTTGCAGTCCCCATTCACTTTATGGCTCTCTGTAAGGTCAGCATCCGATCCTCTGGTTGGCTGCATGTTTACAGAGCTGAGTGATTGATTGCTGTACATGAAATATGATGGATGAGCTTACCCACAGGCTCAACAGGAGACTCAGAAGGCGGCGCTAAGGTACGAGAGGGCTGTCTCAATGCACACGGCTGCCAGAGAGATGGTTTATGTGGCTGAGCAAGGTTTATTGGCTGACAGAAACACTTTGGACCCTACCTGGCAGGAGATGCTGAACCACGCCACAGCCAAGGTACGACACAGTGACTCAGCATTGCTCTTTGATAATTACAGCAATAGGCAGTGGCATAAATTTACCCAAAAACACAAGTGCTCTTATGTTTACAACAGGTCTTAATTGCTAAAATCAATCCCTCATAGTCACAATTATAGATTTTGCTTTGTTAAATCTCAATGTTTCATATTTAAATGTGCACAGCTGGTTAGTGCGGATTGTAATTGCAGCATGGCTTTGATTGTCGCAGTGGGGACAATCAATAACGCTGATGAATGCACACCTACAGTTAAAGATCAAGGTTACACATCTTCATTTATGTTTTATTCTAGCCCTGCCAGTAAAATAGAGCAGCATTTTTCCGATGTTAAATCATCCCACAGTTTTTGTTTCTAGTTGGGTTGTCACCAAAATTTCAGCAGTCGATACCAATGCCAGGGAAATTTCAAGATTCTTGAAAATACTTATATGCTAATGAACACAGACCTTTATTATAACACATTGCCTCATGTTTTTCAATTAATCATTCAAGTGAACTGTCAGTAATAAAATAAAGAACACAAACAAACTACATGCATTAGAACAAATACAAACAATAGAACAAAGTTACAAATGATGTAAACACATTGTAAGGTTTATTTGAATCATTTAAGTGAACAGTCAGTAGTAAAATAAAGTAAAGATTACAGAAATGTATTACAAATACAACAAAAATAAAGTGCTTCAATTGTTCAAATTAATCATTCAAGTTAATATTCAATAATAACATAAGTAAAGAAAATAGATAAATTATATACAATAGAAATAAAAACAATAGAAGTTGCAAATTAAGTAAACACTGATTTAGGTTTATGAATTAACCATTAAAGTAAACAGTCAGTAATAAAATCAAGTACAGAAACAAATGACAAGGAATAGAATAATATGGAAATGATGTAAACAGTGCATTAATTTTTCAAATGTATCATTTAACTAAACAGTCAGTAATAAAAAAGGACAAAAAAACAAATTGTCTTTGTAATCTTTAACTTTTAGCTCTTACTCTGAAATGACTTTTCCCATGATGTCACTTAGGCCAAATAGTTATTCAAGGATTATTTTAGCAAACCGGCCCGGCTCCATTCTGGTTTGTAATGACCACTTTTAACAATCCATTTATTGTCTTACTTTGAAATATGTCACATTAAAGGAATAAAATGGGTTGTTCAGGCAATCCATGTTTGTTTTAAGTAAACTTTGGCAGTTTTCAATTTACCATTTAAGTAAACAGTAATAAAATGTAAAATAAAGAAACAAATTACCTATAATAGAAGAAATAATAATAAAAAAACGATAGAACAAAGATACAAATAAAGTTAACAGTGAAAGTTTGAGAAATTCAGAGGAAAGCATTTGACATTCACACTGTAGACAGATTGATATTGTTACATTTTCTTTAGCTGTTAAGATCAACTTGGTACTGATTATTGACAGTGGTGATCTGATATTGAATCTTTGTCAAATATTTGTATGAATGATACAGAAAGATATGAGAATATATTTGATTTAATGTCTTTCATGTGTGAAAACAGAACAGGGTATCACATTTGACATGTTGCTGTTTTCAGGTGAACGAGGCAGAGGAGGAGCGTTTGAGGAGCGAGAGGGAGCACCAGCGTGTCACTCAGCTTTGTCAGGAAGCAGAAGCACGTGTGCAGACTTTGCAGAAGGCTCTTAAGAGGGTCATTATCAAGTCCAAGCCTTATTTTGAGCTCAAGGCTCAGTTCAACCACATCTTAGAGGTATGCATCAGAGACTGGCCTCTGCTATAAAGGTATTCAAGGTCTGGTGGCCATATTGATTTAAGTAACAAAATTAAATCCTCTATGAAATGCAAACTAGGGATGGGCGCAAAGAATAGAAACTTCTCTTACAGCATACAAACTAATCATTAAAAATAATTAGTATAATTTTTTTTATGATATCAGCCATTTAGTTATCGACCATAACATGAATAATCATTCGCTAATCACAGGGGTGTCCAAACTTAGTCCTGGAGGGCCACTGCCCTCAACACATCTTTTAAGTGTTTTAAAAACACATCACAGGTTTTCAGTATGCCTAGTAAGACCTTGATTTGCTGGAATCAGGTGTGTTTAACTGGGGTTGGAGCTGATTTCTGCAGGACAGTGGGCCTCCAGGAGCAGGATTGGACACCCCTGGCTTATCATATCAACCTGAATTTCAAATATTAGTGCATCCCTAATTTTTTTTTTTTTTTAAATGTCTGATGGATGATCATCTGTTTATTTAGTCATTATAATGCCATTAATGTATTTGGTGCAAATACATGTCAAAATGGTTTTTTTTTAATCCAATGTGCTATGCTTATCCCCACTCATTAACAGGAGCACAAGTCCAAAGTCGTTCAGCTGGAGGAACGGGTGGCGAAGGTGAAGACCCGATATTCTGTCGCCCTTCGCAACCTTGAGCAAATCAGCGAGCAGATCCATGCGCAAAGGGGACGCATTCGCGCCACCAGAGAGCGCAACAGGGTTCGTGGGGGGCGGAGCTCTCCAGTCGGGGCGGAGTCTGAGGGTATAATTCAGTCAGGGGCATATGCAGGGGTGGTGGCCAATCCTTTAATGGATAATGACTGGGCTGATCAAGAGAAAACCCGGCAGTGGGTGGAGAAACACAGGGAGGCGGGGTGGGGCCATAGAGAGAGAGTGGAGAAGGCGGGGTCAGACTCCATGTCAGTCATAAGTCTGCAAACCATTGCCTCCGATCTGGAGAAGTTCGATTCTGTGGAGCACTTGGGCGACCTGAGTGATGTCGGAAGTATAATAGGTGAGGAGAAAGAAGCAGAGAGTGAGAGAGGATTTAGGCCCGAAGACAGAATAGTAGCGAGAGAGGTGGCGAACCTTTCGGGACAGGATGCAGATAAAGGTGCCTCAGGGACAGACAGACAGCAGAGAGATAGAGAGCGGGAGAGCTTTGTGAAGCAGCACCACAGAAGTGTTAGTTTGTGAGGAAGCAGGAAATTAGAGTTGTCTGTTACTCCACCTCAATCCTGGCGGGCTAAAGCTTGCCTGCAGGCTTCCAAGCGAGACTCTCAATTGACTACAAATGAATCAGACCGGAAAACACTCTGTATTTGCTTAAAGGTGAAGTGTGTAATTTCAGTGCTACTAGTGGCACAAATGGAACTGAAAAAACAGACTCTTTTTAAACAGGTTTCCCCCGAAACACTCACCCATCTGCTATTGGTTACATAAATAGATGGTCCCACCCCTTAACTTATGCCATTGGCTGAGCCGATGTTTCTGTGTCGGGCTGGTTGGGATGCTCAAAAAGAGTTTGCACTTTTCAAGGAAAGTCAATATACAAATGGTTTCATTATAGTTGCCCATTAGGTTGAGATAGGAGAATGTGGGAAAAAATTGCACACTTCATCTTTAAAGGGTTAGTTCTCTTTCGTTCATCTTCGTAACACAAATGAAGATATTTTGGTAACACTTTACTTAAGGCCTTTATGTATAATGCATTGTAAAAAATTTTTTTAATGCATCAATTATGCCTGGTAATGCAGCTTATAATGCATTTTATGATCTCATTTTTAATTGTTAATGTTGCCTATATTTTTAATGAAATCTGAGAGATTTCTGTCCGTCTATTTGACAGCCCATGCAAATACCACTTTGACACTTCAAAAAGTTCATAAATTGATAGAAAAACTAATCCATATGAATTGAGCGGTTTAGTCAACATTTTCTAAAGTGACACGATTGCTTTATTTGATGAACACGTGAGAACCAATGAGGTTTATTCTCGTGTGTTACGCAGCACCTTTGAGCTTCCACAAGAACCAATGAGGTTTGTTCTTACGCATCACAAGTACGGTTGAGCTTCTGTGTATGTTCGCTTGTCAATGTTTATATGTGAAAAAAAATTCAGTCTGTTTATCATATAGGGCCCTATCTGTGCCATTGACCAACTGAAACCTGGTCTAAAGTCAATGGCGCAATATATATATGTTGTTATTTAAAGAGCGCGTTAGTAATGTGTGCCTATAGGCGGGTACACTTTGTCCTGTAGATGGTCTGCTCACGCGAGATTCATATGGATTCGGTTTAGGATCTCTTTATGAACTTTTTGAAGCAATAAATTGGTAGGATGAACAGAAATCTCTCAGATTTCATTTTAAAATATCTTCATTTGTGTTTTAAAGATGAACGAAAGTCCTACGGGTTTTGAACGACATGAGGATGAATAAATGATGACAGATTTTTTTTTTTTTTTTTTTTTTGGTGAACCAACCCTTTAACGGCGCAAACTATGGAAGCCAATTTCCACCTGAGAGTAAAAAATAAATAAAATGGTTTGATCAAAGTAAGAAATCAAGTTACAATTGTGAGATATGAAGTCACATTGTGAAATGTAAAATTGCATTGTGAGGTTTCAAATCCCATCGTAAGATATAAATTCAAAATATAGAAAAATAAAGTTTGTGAGATATAAAGTCAAGATGGGCTTCATTCTGAGTAATTTGCGTGTAAAATAGACTTTGCCGAAAACTATCCTCCGGATTCACAAGCGCATTGTAAACCTCAGATTTGATGGTTAAATGTGTGTATTTTAAAGAATTTCAATCATTTGTAAATAGGGTGTCGTGTGTACGATCACTTACGATTAGCATAATCCTTGGCCATGAATTACAACATACAGAAATGTTAATGGGTTCTTTGACCTTTTTTTACTCAGGCTTGGCTCTAGTATATTGCATAAATGTAAAAGAGACTAATTGGCCATATGCTTGAAAATGATTCAATAAAAGTGTTCATCTTGCAGACAAATAATACTGGTGGTCAGAATAATAGTAATCTATAATAAAAGAGTAAATGGACTACATTGCTTTTTTTAATCATTTTTGTTTATCAATTAAACTTTAATTAATTTTGCTATCAGAAATTCCTAAACGCAATTTGTTTAGGGATTTCAAATAATATAATTTTTGACATAATTCTGAAAATTTACGTTGGAGCGCTTTTATGAACTTCTTACTTCTGTTGATGTTTCATGAATGAGGCCCATTGTGTGATACAAAGTTGCACATTTAGATCTAAAATTGCAATTAATAGAATCAAGTCACAATTGCAAGTTTCACAATTTTATTTAGCGTAATTCCAAGAAACAAACCTGCCATTTTTTTTAATGGAAAGGTGGAAACAGGCTTCCATAACTAACAACCGCATGGATCAAATGAGAGGAAATCTCCCCTAGGGGTGGTGACTAAGATTCAGAAATCATTAATGAATTCATTTTGAGGAAAGTGAGTAATAATACACTTACATTGATTGATGTGGCATTATTGTAACACTGCACTATAGCAGACAGGGTTCAGATGTTCTCTGCAAATTAATGAATAACAATAAGGAGGGGGGGTTGAGGTGGTATTTTAGTCAGTCTGCTGGGATTTATAGTTCTTATGCTCTGATCCCGTCTTCTCGGTTACTGTTTCACTGTCGGCCAGGGGACAGGGGAAAAAAAAAGACAAAAGACACTTCACTCAATGAGAGAGATAAAGACAAAATGATCAAACTCACATCTCTGTCTGTTACCACAGAAAAGAGAAATGCTCTTACAATAGAGGTCTATGGGTACTGCTGTACACTTCCCTTAGAGGCTTCCATTGTTACTTTACGCACATTTCAGTTTAGGTGTCTGAAAGCCAAAGTCAAAAGTCTTTTCTGTGATTATAGATAATATGACACTGATGCTGTTGACTTCACTTGTGTGTAACCTGGATTTTTCCTTTATTAATATTGTATTTATTTCCCATCTCCGTCTTTCTCAGCAGGGTGTAGATATTTGGAATATTGTTTTCATTTGGATGTCAGTTGGTATTATTTTGTGGCATTTATGATATATTTCAGATCCAGAGTACTGTTTTTATTGATTTTGTTCTATTTGAGAGATATTAGATTTTATGTCAGTCCGGGAATGTAAGAGGGTCTTGTCTTAGCAGAAAGACAAGAACAGAACATGTTTACAAGTGTGTCAGTCCTGCTGGAATTTTGCAAGAAAAGTTGAGTAAACAAAATGACAGTGGAATGACTGAATGATGTGAACCTGATGACGTAACTGTGTTTTGCAGATATACACTTTAAAAATCATGTATTATGCTAGCTGTTTGAACAAGCCGTGCTGTGGACAGTACAGTATTGTTTGCAAGTTTACATCCTACTCTTCTCTTCCGAATTATTTTTAATTTGTTTTTTAAATGTAGTTGTTGTACTTTTTTGTCCACAAACCCTGTAAATCCATCCTTCCCCATCATAACCTCTTGTGTACAGATTCCTCACCTCTCCTCATAGTAAATAGACGATGCTCTGTAGATTTAATCCGGTATGCTGCTGTCTCTCTCCATTCATAAGGTCACATGAACTCTATGTATATACAAGCTGATGTATGATGAATACAAATAATCTTTACGTGACTGATAACTTATTCTGTAAATGTTAATTTATTGCACAGTTAGAAATATTAAAACTTGAATTTAACAACTATGCTCTTTTTCTCGTTTAATTTCACTTTAAACAGATAGAAGTGTGATTGTTAATTGTAGGTACTTGCTACGTTGTAGTGATGCACGAGATATATTCATTTTTAATTGTATCGTTCGTTATCAGCCTGATAAGAATATTTGGCCGATATATTAAAGCAGATAAATGGATTATTTCCTTCAGCTGAGACACTTCAGATGCGCACTGTTCGCCTTGATGGTTTTGAATGGCTTGAAATATGATTGGAATCTCTTCAAAAAAGGAAGATACAGTTAAGTGCAACATGTGCAGCGCAAGTCTGTCATATAGACTTCATAAAATTATAATCAGAACATTATAATTGTGTGGTTTGGACATGGCTTCTTATGGTGAGACTTTTAGTTTTGTAATCAGGCTCTCAAAAATGATATAAAAATGTGGATTTAGATTTATCAGCCAATATATTGGTTATCGGCTTTCAAACATAAAGAATTATCGCATTACTTTGTCTCTCTCAATTGTAAATTTGTATTTTGCAATGTGACACAATTTAACTACATCTTTTAATTGTGACTTTATAAAACAGCATTTCTATTTCTCGTAATAGTGAAATTTAGTCTCCCAGTTGTGACTTTATATCGTGGAATTTCTTGTGACTTTAAGTGTCAAAATCTTACAATTGCAACTTTATTTCTGTAACAGTGCCTAAAAAAAGTCAAACAATAGTCTGGATCTTAATGCTGGTAAAATGGTATTTAATAGCTCCAATCATGAAACATGTCCATAACTTGACCATGAAACGCATGACATGAAGTGTAAGCTCAAGACCTCACTCCGTAACCACATGAAAGGCACACGTACAAACAAACAATAATCCACCCATGCAGGGCAAGACAGAGCACATGGTTAAATACCTGAGATAAGAAACACCTGGAACTAATTAACATGAACACAAAGAACTACAAAGACCATGACAAGAACTACAAAAATAACATGAATGGCAAATTACAAAATACATGACATAGTACAGAATCCTGACAATTTCTCATAATTACGACTGTATAACAATTGTGAACATTTATTGCAATTCCGACACTAACTAAAATGTGACTATATCTTGCAATCCGATTATATCTCTCAATTATGACTGTTTCCTGTAATTGCAACTTCATTTCTCAATGTTGCAACTTTATATCTTGCAATTGCGACATAACTTTATGTGACTTTATATCTCTAAAACTTTTTTCTAGTAATGTAGCAATAACTCACATTGTGACTTGAAAGTGTCACATTTTGTCTCAAAAAACCTTTATAATTGTGAGGCAAAGTCACAATTATGAGAAATAAAGTTGCAAATGTGAGATAAAGCCACATTGTGATTTGAAAGTGTCGCAATGTGGCTTTGTCTCACCATTGCTCATTTATTTCTCATAATTGCTATACTGTCTCACAATTATAAAGATTTATTGCAATTCTTACGTTATAACTAAAAATGTGACTTTGTCTTACAATGTGACTCTATATATCTCAATTTTGACTATTTGTATTTGATACATTATTTTGCATAATTGCGACTTTATACCTTATTGTGAAAATTTCTTGCAATTACGACCTTATAACTAACAATATAACTTATCTCCTGCAATGTGACTATATCTCTCAGTTAGATTTTTATAATAATGACTTTATTTCTGGTAATTGTGATTTTATTTCTCATCACTGTAATTTTATATCTCCCAATGTGACTTTATCCCACAATTACGTTCCCATATCAGAGAGATTTTACATGATGCTATTATGCACATTGTCTATAGAAAATGAGAAGTGTGCTTACTCGTGGGCCACCACAAGATAAGGGGTGTCCTGGGCCGTTGCCAGGACATCGCTATGCAGTTGCTAAGGCATCCTGACTGAGGGCTTGTTAGAATTGCTCGCATTATGTACGAGCAATAGTAATAGTTACGCTTGGCTTAACAAACACCACTAATTACCAGTTACATTGATTCAATAGCTTGGTAATTGTAAT